TAAAGGAGGAGACTCTTGTTGCTTTCTAAAGATTTCTCTCCTCTCAATGCTTGGCCCTGGAGGTCGATGCAGCTGATGAAATGGGTAGCAGAGCAGGGAAACTAAAGCCCTAGTTATTTAGGCAGAAAATCAGGTATTGGGACTTCTAAGAGCTAGGAAGTGTCAGGGAGATTTCAGGTAAGAGGGAGCTCTAGAAAGTGATCCCATAACGTGTCACATGAAATCCCGGGCAGCACATGATTGTTTCTGAGCCTAAACAGCATTCCAGAGACTGTGAGAGCTGGAGAACAGGATATACCACTGCCCAGCTCCCAAACTACTGGTGGTATACAACCAGGATAGCTCCAAATAGCATTGCAAAGACTTTGAAAACTGAACTGACATTGGAACCATAACCCATGTAAGGTGGGTAGAAACTTCCAGCTTAAATCTAACAGGGTCAGTTGCCTCCTGAAACTTAAAAAAAAAAAAAAAAAAAAAAAAAAAAATCAACATTTTCCAAAGAATTAAATAAATGCCGTCTCAAATATATTTAAAATAACCACAATACAATACAAAATTACCTGATATATGAAGAACCAGGAAAATCTCAACATGCCAGAAGGAAAAAGATAATCAATACACATCAACCCCAAAATGACACAGAAGTTTTAATGATCAGACGTTAAAGCAGCTGTTACAATCATACTCTGAGAAGTCAGAGCCAACACTCTTGAAAGAAATGGAAAGAAAGAATATCAGCAGACAAAAGATATAAGAAAAACACTAAGTGGAAAATTTTATAACTAAAAAACATAACAACAAATAAAAAATCCACTTGATCTGCTAAATAGCAGAATGAAGAAGACAGAGGAAAAAGTCAGTGACCTTGAAGATCAGTCAACAGGAAGCATCCAATAGGAACAACAGACAGAAAAAGAGTGAGACAAAGTGTACAGAGCCTCAGAAACCTATGGGACGATAACAAAGGATCTATTATCTATGTTACCAGAGTCCAGAATGAGAGACAAAGGAGTGCAGTGCATAAAAAATATTTGGAGAAATAATGGCTTAAAATTTCCCACATTTGGCCAAAGTCATAAACTTTTAGATTCAAGAAGCTCAGGAAACCTCAAACAGGATCAACCCAAAAGCTCATGCCCAGACACATCAAAATCAAGCAACTGAAAGCTAAACATAAAATTTTTTTAAATCTTGAAAGCAGCCAGAAAAAAATGACACATTACATATAGGGGAACAACAATTTGAACGACTGCAAAATTCTCATCAAAAATGGAGGCCAGGAGGAAATAGCACATTTTTAAAGTGCTGAAAGAAAAGGACTGTCAACCTATAATTCTATATACAGTGAAAACATCCTTCAAGAATGAAGCCAAACGAAAGGCATTTTCAGATTAAAGGAACTCAGAAGATTCATTGCCAACATATCTGCAACATAAAAGAAATGCTGAAGGAAGTTTTTCAGATAGAATGGAAATAATACTGAAGGGAAAATTCAAACTTCAGAAATGAAGGAAGAGCAACAAAAATAATAACCATCTAGGTAAATATAATAGGATATTTTTCTCCCCCTAAGTTTTGGAATATGCATGTCAATTGAAAGTATGTCAGTTGAAAGCAAAAATTATAACATTGTTTGATGGGATTTTCAATGTATGTAAATATAGTACATATGACAACTATAACATAAAAAGGAGGAAGATAAAGGGTCCTACATATAAATTTCTCCAACTTTGTGGCATACGTTGTCATCATCTTAATGATATATTTCAAAGAGAAAATGGTTTGAATTTTGATAGTGTCCTATTAGTAACTATAACAAGGGCTTCCCTACTAAGGGACAACGAGGACTCTAAAGAATAGAGGAATAGCAGACATAGAGGATAGCAGGCACTACCTCTAGGCCTAACACAGATCACTTAAGAAAGGAATGAAGGTGGAATAGACTCCCAGGTGATCTTGTTAAATGAAAAAAGTAAAAAACAAGAGTATAAAAACAATAGTATGGGGGCCAGCCCAGTGGCATAGTTATTAAGGTCGTGTGCTCCACTTTTGTGGCCCAGGGTTCATGGGTTTGGATCTCAGGCACAGACCTACACACTGCTCGTCAAGCCATGCTGTGGCGGCATCCCACACACAAAATAGAGGAAGACTGGCATGATGTTAGCTTAGGGACAATCTTCCCCAAGCAAAAAGAGGAAGACTGGCAATCTTCCTCTCTCTCTCTCTCTCTCTCTCTCTCACACACACACACACACACACACACACACAAACAACAGTAGGCTATCTTTTGTGTAAGAAAGAAGGGTAAATAAGAAAATATACATTTTTCTGCTTATTTTTATAAACAAACCCAGGAAAGATAAACCAAAAAATAATGAACTTGGTTACCTATACGGGATGGGTAGGAATCAAGCTGAAGTGATGTTGGGAAAGTGATGTTTCTCTGAGTATCTTTTTGTATAATTTTGTCTTTTAAACCATATTAATGTTTAAAAAAACAAAATTAAATTAAGTTTGGAGGGACACTAAAATGTCATACAAACAGAAACAAATGATCCTAACTGTATTTCAAATGAACATCACATCCACACTGAATGGAGGAAAAAGAACTAACCCAAGTAATTTTTAAACATAGCATTTTGACTGTAAAATTCAGGAAAAGGACATAAAGTCTTCAACAAATAATGAACCCTGGAATTAGCTGGCCCCCATACTATTGTTTTTATACTCTTGTTTCTCACTTTTTTCCTTTAACAAGATCACTGGGAGTCTCTTCCACCTTCATTCCTTTCTTAAGTGATCTTTGCAATGGTATGGGCTAGCAATTCTGTAACTATTTTGCTGTGTATTCTAACATCAGGATTGAGCAAATGGGTGTGTGCAAGAGAGATCATTACAATCGTCCCAACACTGTGGAAGGTAATTTGGCATTATCTAGTGACGCTGAAGGTGTGTGTGGTAAATTGAAGACACATGGCCACAGTATTTTGCAGCTCCTCTCATCAAGAGGTAAAGCATATTTTTCCACCTCTTTCATCTAGGGTAGCTTTGTGACTTCCTTTGACCAAAAAAGTGTAGGAGCAATGACAATGGGAGCATTCCCATGCTTAGGTTTCAAGACACTTTGTTGATTCCGCCTTTGTTCTCTGGGAGCTGCCCAACAATCTCACTCATAGGTATATACCCTAGAAAAATGTGTACATTAGGAACATGTATAAGAATGTTTAAGAGCCAAAACTGGCTCTTAAACTGAAATGTCCAAATGTTCATTGACAGTAGAATGGATAAAGAAATTGTGGTACAGCCTTGTGTCAATTAATGACAGGGATACGTTTTGAGAAACGTGTCATTAGTCGATTTTGTCTTTGTGTGAACATCGTAAAGTGTACTCACACAAACCTAGATAGTATAGCCTGCTACACACTTAGGCTATATGGCACTAATCTTATGTGGCCACCATCGTATATGCAGTCTGTTGTTGACGAAAACATCATTATGTGACGCATGACTGTATATTCACATACTGGAATATTATACAGCATTAAAAAGCATAGACTACAGCTACACACAACAATATGGATGAATCTTACAATCATATGTTGAATGAAAGAAGTAAAAGAATACAAAGAGAATATATATATAAATGAACAAATTAAGCTACATAAATGGACATGCAAAACTATATTGCTTTATATAACTGTATAAATTAAACTATATTGTTTAGATACGCATACATAGGTAATAAAATATAAAGAAAAACAAAGAACTAATCATAAAAGTCAGGAGAATGCTTACCTCTATGAGGGAGAAAAGAGGTTATAATCAGAGATCATGGAGAGGTTCCAGGGTCATTCTAGTTCTTAACACGGGTGGTGTCTATTTCACAGTTCTTTACACTGCACATTTTGTTTTATGTATGTTTCTAAACATATGTAATATCTCATAATAAAATGTCTTTTAAAAACATTAAAAAATACCATTACACTCCCACCAGACTGGTAAAAATTTTAAAGTTTGACCAAGTTTAATCAAGTGTTGTGCAGAAAGGGGAATACACGGAATTCTCACATATCACAAACCACTTTGAAAGTCAGACAATATAGTAAAACTGAAAGTGTGTATACCCTACACAGCAACTCCATTCCTAAGTATGTACCCTAGAGAACTCTTGCACGTGTGCACATATATGTGCCCAAGCTGCTTCTAGAAGAAAATGGCGGCTATTTTCACGGGTTAGGATTACTGTGGAAATTCAGCTTAGGTCTGCAGCCTCTGGGAATCCTTCTCTGACTAGCCTAGGCAGAATTAATGGCTCTGTTTTCTGTCCTCTCCATCACACCTGCTACCGGTTATCATGAGTTTATGACCGTCTGATTAAGTCCTTAATTCCCCTCCCCTCCTCCCTCCAAAACCAAAAACTCAATGAAAGCAAGGACTGTGGTCTGAGTCACCTGTCCAAGTCCCTGCGGTACACCAATAGTACTTTCTAAATGTCTCATGGATGCTTTTTAAATTAATGCCTGAAGAATAAAAAACAGCAGTGAGGAGACAAAAAAGGTTTTAGTTCTGAGAGTCCTTTTAGGATTTAAGTATGCTAGATTGACAGAAATCCCTGAATTTAGGAGTTGACATTCAGAATGAGGGCATTCAGGAAGTAGAAGGTTCTCCGGATGGGTGTGGTCTTACATGCTGTCCAGGACTCGAGTAACCTTGAATGTTTGCCACTTTTATCATATCTCTGTGGTGGGACTCTGAGGTGGACAGTTGGCAATCTCTGAGTTTGAAGATTTCTAGGGCTAGAAAAGGGCTCTGAGAAGGATAATAGCTGACAGGGATTCTATTGTCTCTGCTTCTCACTCCGAGAGAAAACAGAGGCTTGCAAGTGTGCCTGAGGTTGAGATGTGTGAATGTGGATCTTTGTAACAACTTTAAGGTTAGGGTCTCTGGCTTTTGTAGTTGCCCGGGGCTGGGACCCTTAATCAAGGGGCTAGCCTTACTTTTCACTGCAGTGCTGCGTGATGACTGTGGCCCGGAAGCCCAGGAGAGAGAAGAAAAAAGGTGTGAAAAGCAGCATGGTGACCAGGTTGACAAGAGCCACAAGAAAGGCATCATGGAGACAGTTGTTTGATGGGTGCATGTGCGAGGATATGGCGACAACGGGGCCAAAGCCTAGGCCCAAGGCAAACAAGACTTGGGTCCCTGCTCGGCACCACACATTCATGTTGTACATAGCCGATATCTAAAAGGGAGAAGACAAGTATAAGGGGAGATGTCAAAGAAGGAGAAGAGAACCTTAACAGTGGGGGAGAGGGATGCAGAGGGAGAGATAATGGGGAAAGGATGCCCTAAGAATAGGCAATAGGCGTCCTCCAAGGCCTGATAGGGGAGTGAGGAAGAAATACCTTACCTTGGCAGATGCCAAATGTCGAAGGCCAAATACCGCCCCATCCAGCAGGAGACTCCGGATTAGGAGACAAAGGACGATGAGATAGGGGACTGGTACCAAGAGATACATTACCTGAATTGAGAGTGGGACATATCAGCAACCATGTACCAGTGGGAGTCAACCAACAGTCAGCAGGGATGAAAAGTTCTAAGTCAGAAATGAGGAGTTAGAAGACAGCTTTCAGTAGGAGTCAGGGGCTAGCAGGAGTAAAAGGCCAGTGAGAAATTAGGAGATCCATGAGTGAAAATGCTGGGTGAGGGCTAAAGCATCTGAGAAAGTCAAGAAATCAAAAAATGGTGGCTCACCTTCCCAGTGGACTTGAGCCCATTAATCATGAAAGCAGCAACAAGACACCAGGCCACCAATAAGGACAGGCTCAGACTGAGGACTGGTGGCCCACCATCCTCAATTCTGTCTGAGGCCTTCAAGGTCAGCCGGTACCAGAAGTACATGGAGGGTGTCGTCTGTGCACATTCAGGATCTAGGGGGACCTGGTTTTGGACACGCCTCCTAGACAGAGTAACCCCTCCCCTCTTCTTCACCCCTTCTCCCACCTCCCACTCCTCCTTCCCCTTCCATTTCTTCTTCCTTCTACTGCCTTCCTCTTCTTTATCCCCCCTTGCTCCTTTCTCCTCTTCCAAATTCCCTTCCACCTCTCTGTTTTCCCTTTCTCCTCCTCTTTCACTTCCTCCTCACCAAAGTCAGTGGAGTTCTTCACTAAGGGACATTTCTCCCATGGAAGGTGAAACTGGAAGGACTGGCTCAAGTAAGAGAGAGTCCAGGCATTGACCACATTCAAGTACAAGCCACCGATGAAGCACACCTGGGGGTCAGGGAAGAGGTGGCTGGGGAGGAAGGGTGGGGACAGGAAAAAGGAAGGGATTTGACAGAGGACTGGGGAGCTAAAGGGACTTGACCCATGGAAGTGAAGTCATAGGACCCATTCCAGGACAAGGGTTGGGATGGGGGTGGGGGGTAAAGGGTAGGCCTGGGCAGCCCAGGGCTCCTCACCAGGAAGCTGGTATACCCCACACCACCAATCCAGGGGCTGATGAGCTTCCATACATCAATGCTGCCCCGACGCAACCTCTGACCAGCTGCCATCTCCAGGAAGAGAAGAGGAATCCCGATCAAGAACATCATGAAGATGTAGATAAGGAGAAAACTGCCTGTGCAGGGGATGCAAGGAAGGGCTCTGAGAACCATCTGGCTTTTCAGTGCCTAGACTTCATCAGGGGTCCAGGAAAACATGTTCCCCACCAGTGACCTCCCTCAGGGCCATAGGCATCAGGACTCAACTCTTTACACATCCTTCATAGTCCCAGGTGTCCAGTCCCTTGGGCCCCAATTCCTGGAAGACCCATATACCTAGCTTCCAGCCTTACCCCTGCACCTCTACCCCTCTCATGATCCAAGTGTTCAGGCACCTGGTTCCTATCCTGCTCAGAGTACCAAGTCTCCAGCTTCTACACATTCCAGAGACCTTAGAGTTTAAAGCCTGGACAGGCCTCTGTCCTGCTAGCCCCTTGTGGATCCATGACTCCTGGTCCCCAGACTTACAACCTCCGTTGTGAAGCCACAGGAAGGTAAAATGCCAGAGATCACCTGGCCTCACGGAGTAGCCCACCTGGGCCAGGATGTACTCAACCTTGTTGGACCAGACTGGACGGGTGAAGAGGACCTTACTCTTTTCCTTCTCTGGCACCTGCAGCTTCTCAGGTAAGTGTTTCCGTTTTGCCAGTGGGGCAGCTATCATCCGCAATACAGAGTTTTGCTTGGATTGGCTGGCTCTGCTCTGAGCCTCAAAAGCTTGAGCCTCCCAGGCCCGAGCCTTCGCAGCCCGGGCCTCCAAACCCTGGGCCTCTGAAACCCAGGATGTCGGAGACCAGGTGGCTCTGCGTACTTTATCCCAAATTTGGCTTCCTGGGGAACTCTCAGAAAGCTCAGTAGATGGGGTTTTTGACAGTGAAGGTTCTGAAGCCTGGGCCTCTGTCTTCATTCCAGGCTGACTCTCTGGAGCAGCTCCAGTGTTTTCAAGGGAGGGTCTGCCTTGCTGAGTAGACCTTAAGGACACCGAAAACTAGATTTTAGAGTCAAGGAATGACCGAGTTCCAAAACGACACCTCCTTAAAGCAAACCTCACATTTCTGTCCCTACCACCACTGAAATTCAAAGCACAAGAAAACTCTTACGTAAGTTTTACTTCTTAGAAATGTTTTGGTGCAGGGGACTACGGTAGAGATAGCCAAGCTTATAGTCAGGAATCCCACTCAAAGAGTTTCTGAAAACATTGAGGTATACTCCTCACAGAGGGAGGGACATTTATAGTGGGCTTCTGAATCAAAGAAACTAATTTAATACTAAATCTGCCTTATAACCCTAGGAAAGCTGCTTTACCTCGCTGAGCTTTCTCATCTGTATAACACTCAGGTCTCTGCCCAAATATTGCCTCACCAGACACGCCTTCCCTGCCCATCTATCTAAAATAGCAGCTACCTACCCACCACTCTCACCATTCTATCTACTTTTATTTTTCTTCATAGCATTTCTCACCTCCTGATGTGGTTATCTATTGATCGTTAATCTAGTTATCATCTACCTACCCCCCCACCGCTGCTCTATGCCCAGCAAGAGGATAGCGCTCTACCTCTCATCTGGAGCCACCCTCCTCTTTGTTCTCTGTGCTTCTGCCATTCTCATCTTTTGTTGGCTCCTCAAATGTTCTGCAGGGGAATGGGCAAGGAGCATGCTGAAGAAGAAAAGAAAAAAAAAACAGGTGTAGAAGAGGGGAAGAGAGAGAGACCTGGAGTTTTCTTTCAGAGGGGGAAGGAGCATACCATCCAAAAGCAGAGGCAGTGGGTGGGCATCAAGGCAGCACTGGCACATCCAGGTCACCTGGATAATCGGCTGTGAGACACACTGTTTCCAAAGAGTTCTTAGTAGCTCAGGAAATGCTTATAATTCAACGATAGGTTAAAAAAAAACAAAATTCAGACACAAATCTCTATCTTTAGTTCTAGCTCTACTACATTTAAAAATACAATGAAAGAAAAGGCTGAAAGATAATACATCAATAAATAGAAGATGACAGGATTATAGATGTTTTTATATCTTTCGCTCTGATTTTAAACGAGTTTAGTAAATTATCTAAAAAACACGTATTACTTTAGTAATCAAGAAAAATATGTATTAATAAGTAAAAATTTTAAAAAGGAAGACAATACTGGACACAGAAGTCAGATTGAAGGAGCTCCCGTCAACCAAATGTGTGACAATTAGAGCATCAAAATAAACAAGATAGTAATGGATGAGAAGCCATAGAATAAAACAAGAATCCATGAACTCATAGTGATATAAATAAGGAAAAGAAAAATCTCTTCCTTACAGTAAAATTCAAACTAACAAATGTACAAGGAATGATGAAATCCGAAAATCTTCCTTTGGAAACCATGAGAGTAATAACTGATTCAAGCAAGCATCATCAATGGTTGCTAATACAAGATGATGAAAGTGTGATGGGGACAAATAATTGCCTGGTATTAATGTAGCACCCTACAAAATAGTCTCCTCAAAACCCAGAAAAACAGCACCTTTACAATGTTAGACACTACCTTAACCAAGTCATGGAAGTTACTTGATACCACTTGCCTTCTGATATTATGCACTGAGAAGAACACATCATTTCAGTGGTATTCCTGCCAAAAATGTATAACCAGAATCTAATCATGAGGAAACATCAGACAAATCCAAACAGAGGGACACTACAAAATAACTGGCCTGTATTAAGAATGTAAAAGTCAAGAAGACAAGGAAATATGCAAGAATTCTAAGTCTGAAATAACAACTGTAAGTCTGAAATACGTCAAAATAAGAAGTTACTACTGGAACTGGAAAAACACCTAGGTTGGACTTCCAGTTTCTGGTTCACATGTAAGGAGCTTGAAGTCACCACTCTGTCCTAACAAATAAAAAGCTGAACAGACTGAAAAATCAACAACTCTTCTTGGATCCCTAAGGAAGGTGAAGACAGGGCAAACCACTGTCCCCAAGACTGGAGAGACAGACAGGCATGTGCAAAGATTCACTGACTGCCCGAGCAGAGACTCACGAGTGGAAACCACCATGGGAACCAGTGCCAGGGCAGGAAGATCCTGAACTGTAATTGACGGATTGCTGGAGGCTCAGTGTGGACAACTCCGAGAATTAAAAACTCCAGGGGGATCCAGTCATGGGGGGAAAGGGGCACATTTTTGTGAGTTTAACCTCTAGGAACCAAACCAAGTTCTCACAGAATATTAGAGAAAAATCCCCTGTGCTTCCAGCAAGGGGAAGGAAAAAGGAATCATTTTAAAGTGCTCCAAAACATTCAGTTCTTAACAACGCTTGCCCTCAGGAGAAACTATAAACCAGAGCCTAATCTGCTGGGGTAATATCAGAGTCAAACTGACCTAGGGGAGAGGAAATATCCAACTTCAGCACCCTCTAGCCATTCTGTCCCACCTAAGAAGGGAGGGGAAAAAACCTGAGAAACACATACGAGGGTCACAATTTAGAGGCACAAGCCCACTAAACGACTGAGACCTAGTCATAGGACTAGAGAACACTTCCCTTCTCCCTCCCCCTCACCACCACATTACTAAAGGCCTATTTACAGCAGTTCCTTTTACCCATACATCACATCTGGCTATCAAGAACAAGCTACAAGGCATACCAACAGGGAAAAGACATAATTTGGAGAGACAGAGCAAGCATCAGAACCAGAGACATGGTAGGGATGTTGGAATTATCACACCAGGAATTTAAAACAACTATGATTAATATGCTAAGGGCTATAACGGACAAAGCAGACAGCATGAAAGAATAGATAGGCAATGTAAGCAGAGAGATGGAAATCCTAAGAAAAAAGCAAACAGAAGTGATAGATATCAAAAATACTGTAACAGAAATGAAGAATACATTTGATGGGTTTATTAGTAGACTGGACATGGCTGAGGAAAGAATCTCTGAGCTTGAGGATACCTGAATAGAAACTTCCAAAACTGAAAAGAAAAGAAAACAAAGACTGAAAATCAGAAAGCAGAAAATCAGTAAGGATATAGTCGAACTCAAAAACACCATGAATCAACTGCATATAATTGACATCTACAGACTACTTCAACCAATAACAGCAGAATACACATTTTTCTCAAGCTCATTCACCATGAGAGACCACATTCTGGGCTATAAAACAGTTTAACACATTTAAAACACTAGAAGTCATACAATGTCTGCTCTCAGTCCACAACTGAATTAAACTAGAAATCAATAACAGAAAGATAACTGGAAAACCCCAAATATCTGGAGATAAAACAACACACTTCTAAACACATGGGTCAAAGAAGAAATCTCAAGAGAAATGTAAAGATATTTTGAACTAAATGACAATGAAACACAACTTACCAAAATTTGTGGGATGCAGCAAAAGCAGTGCTTAGAGGGAAATTTATAGCATTGAATGCATATATTAAAAAAGAAAGATCTAAAATCAATAATCTAAGTTTCCACCCTAGGAAACTAGAAGAAGAACAGAAAATTAAATCCAAAGTAAATAGAAGAAAAGAAATAAAAAGAATTAGAGCAGAAATTGAAGACAGGAAATCAATAGAGAAAATCAACAAAATCAAAAGCTGGTTCTTTGAAAAGATCAATAAAATAGATAAGCCTCTAGCCAGGCTAACTAAGAAAAAAAGAAGAGGACACAAATTGCTAATATCAGAAATGAAAAAGGGGACATCACTACAAATCCCATGGACATTAAAAGGATAATAAAGGAATACTATCAACAACTCTAGGCCTATAAATTTGATAACCTAGATGAAATGAACCAATTCCTTGAAAGATATAATCTCCTAAAACTCATACAAGAAGAAATATACAATCTGAATAGGCCTGTCTCTATTAAATATATTTAATAAAGAATTAATAACCTTCCAGAACAGAAAGCACTAGGGCCAGATGGGTCCACTGGTGAATTCTACCAAATATTTAAGGAAGAAATTATACCAATTCTCTACAATCTCTTTCAGAGGACAGAAGCAGAGAGAATACTTCCTAACCCATTCTATGAGACAAGCATTACCCTGATACCAAAAGCAGACAAAGACATTACAGGGAAAGAAAACTACCAACCAGTATCGCTCATGAACATAGATGCAAAAATCCTCAACAAAATATTAGCAAATCCAATCCAACAACGCATAAAAAGAATTATACACCATGACCAAGTGGCATTTATCCCAAGTATGCAAGGCTGGTTCAACATTCAAAAATCAATTCATGTAATCCCTCAACAAACTAAAAAAGAAAAATCACATGATTGTATCAATAGATGCAGAAAAAGTATCTGACAAAATGCAACACCCATTCATAATAAAAACTATCAGTACACTAGGAATAGAGGGAAATTTCATCAACTTGATAAAGAATATCTACAAAAAACCTATAGCTAACATCATGCTTAACGGTGAGAAACTAGAAGCTTTCCCTCTAAAAGCAGGAACAAGGCAAAGATGTCCCCTCTCACCACACCTTTTCAATATTGTACTGCAAATCCTAGCTAATGCAGTAAGACAAGAAAAGGAAATAAAAGGCACACAGATCAGGAAGAAAGAAATAAAACTGTCTTTGTTTGCAGATGACATGATTGTCTATGCAAAAAATCCAAAAGAATTGACAAAAATGTCCTGGAACTAATTATAGAAAGGTTGCAGGATACAAGATTAATATTCAAAAGTCAATCACTTTCCTATATATTAACAATGAACAAGTGGAATGTTAAATTAAAAACATAATACCGTTTACATTAGCACTCAAAAAAATGAAATACTTAGGTATAAATCTAATAAAATATGTTCAAAATCTATATGAAGAAAACTAGAAAACTCTGATGAATAAACTCAAAGAACTAAATTAATGAAGAGATATTCCATTTTCATGGACAGGATAACTTAATATTCTTAAAATGTCAGTTCTTCCGAAGTTGATCTACAGATGCAATGCAATCCCAACCAAAATGCCAGCAAGTTACTTTGTGGATGTCAACAAACTGACTCTACAGGCAAAAGACCCAGAAGCCAACACAATGTTAAAGGAGAAGAAAAATGTTGGAGGACTGATATAACCTGACTTCAATACCCACTATAAAGCTACAGTAATCAAGAAATACAGTATTGGCAAAAGAATACACAAATAGATCAATGGAACAGAATAGAGAGCCCAGAAACAGACTCACATAAATATAGTCACCTGATCTTTGAAAAAGGAGCAAAGGCAATACAATGGAGTAAAGACAGTCTTTTCAACAAGTGATGCTGGAACAACTGGACATTCACATGCAAAAAAAGAATATAGACACAGACCTTACACCCTTCACAAAAATTAACTCAAAACAGATCACAGACCTAAATGTAAAATGCAAAACTATAAAATTCCTAGAAGATAACATAGGAGAAAATCTGGATGACCTTAGGTATAGTGATGACTTTTTAGATACAACATCAAATGCAATCCATGACCAAAATATAAGCTGATAAACTGGACCTCATTAAAATTAAAACCCTGTGGGGCTGGCCCTGTGGCCGAGTGGTTGGGTTCGCGCGCTGCACTGCAGGCAGCCCAGTGTTTCGTTGGTTCAAATCCTGGGCGCAGACATGGCACTGCTCATCAAACCACGCTGTGGCAGCATCCCACATGCCACAACTAGAAGGACCCACAATGAAGGATATACAACTATGTACTGGGGGGCTTTGGGGAGAAAAAAGGAAAAAAAAATTAAAACCCTGCTCTGCAAAAGACTCCATCAAGAGAATGAGAACACAAGCTACTGGCTGAGAAAAAAAGTTGCAAAAGACACATCTGATAAAGGACTGTTATACAAAATACAGACAGAACTCTTAAAACTCAGCAATAAGAAAACAAATAAACTGATTCAAAAATGGGCCAAAGACCTTAATAGACACCTCACCAAAGAAGACATCACAAGGCAAATAAGCATATGAAAATATGCTCCACACATATGTCATCAGGGAAATACAAAATCAAACAGCAACGAGATAGCATCACACACCTGTTAGAACAATCAAAATCCAGAACATAGCAACGCCAAAATGCTGGTGAGGATGTGGAGCAACAGGAACTCTCATTCATTGCTGGTGGGAATTCAAAATGGTACAGTCATTTTGGAATACAGTTTGGCAGCTTCTTACAAAACTAAACATACTCTTACCATATGATTCAGCAATTGTGCTCCTTGGTATTTATCCTAGAGTCGAAAACTTACGACCATACAAAAACCTGCACATGAATGCTTATGGCAGCTTTATTTACAATTGCCAAAACTTGGAAGCAACCAAGATATCCTTCAGTAGGTGAATGGATAGACTGTGCTACATCCAGACAATGGAATATGATTCAGTGTGAAAAAGAAATAAGCTATCAAACCATGAAAATACATGGAGGAAGCTTGAACGCATATTACTAAGTGAAAGACGCCAACCTGTAAACGCTACATACTTTATGATTCCAACTATAAGACATTCTGGACAAGGCACAACTAGAGAGACAGTAAAAAGATGGTGATTGCCATGGGTCACCAGTGGAGGGGTAAACAGGTAGAGCACAGAGGATTTTCAGGCAGTGAAAATACTCTGCGTGATACTACAATGGTAGATACACGTCATTATACAGTTGTCCAAACCTATAGAATGTACAACACTAAGAGTGATCCCTAATCTAAATTACGGGCTTTGAGTGATTATAATGTGCCAATGTAGATTCATCAATTGTAACAAATGTACCACTCTGGTGGGGGATGTTGCTAACAGGGGAGGCTGTGCCTGTGTGGGGGGAGGGGGCATATCAGAACTCATTCTACCTTCTTCTCAATTTTAATGTGAACATAATATTGCTCTTAAAAAAAATAAAGTCTTAAATATGAAAAAAATATATACTGGCAAGTTCCCTGCCATGCCTACTATTTGCCATCAAAACGAAAGGAAGTGTCTTCTAGGAAACATGGTTACATGAACACTGATGTCCAAACTTTCCCATAATCTCCCCACACCCAAGAAAAAAGTCAATTATTATAAAATATTAAAAATATGGGATTAAATGCATCATTTCTGAAAAGTGGTTTCCATCTTCATGTCAAAAATGGAGGAAATTCTGCTACATACACAATAGAGAGGACCAAATGGTACTCCCTGAGGGGTTAATTCACATCCACCCTTCCTGATGAAATGCTCCAACGTTTTGTGGAGTGAGTTATACTTTTCCAGGCAGCTTGTTGGAGAGATAAAAACAACCCCTGTCCAAAGCCCTTCTGCTCCAGTGAACCAACGACTTCCAGAAGCTGTGTCCCAGAGGGCACAAAGATGTGAGCCATCGAAGAGAAAGTCAATGGATTGATGGGTCTCTCCTTCAGACAACTGTGCCAATGCAGCATTAAGAGGGAGCATTAATTGGCACCACAAATGTTCAGAGCTGAACAAAAAATTACGTAGTGAAACCCAGCCTTTCACACAGTATCTTTAATGAAGACGAAAAAAATTGGGAAACACTACTGACATGAAGAGTTAAGTCTAGTCACGGTCCCAGCTGCCCCTCCTCTCTCCATCACACAGCCTAAATCGCTAAACAGCAATATAAATCTAGCCAGTGAGCCTTCAAGCTCAAGATCTGTGAAGAGCATTCTACCTCAAGAATCAGATGATCAACAGGGGTCCAAAAAGAAATTTAATGCCACACAATTTTTAGGCAAGAAACAAGCTAAGACTAATATGTCTTCATTCAAAAACAAATAAAAAGAAAAAAACCCACAATTTGGACCTTAATGCATGTGCACTCTTCTCTGAAAAAAAAAAAAAAAAAAAAAACCTTGGTCAACTAAGATACCAACCAAAATAATAATTGGGATATAAATCCCTGGTGATAGCATAGAAAAATAACAACAATCATTTAAAAAGTATCTACTAAATCTTCCAGCAATAAATATAATATTTTTAAACCCCTATTCAAAATAGCTACAGCCTGCACCGCAGTCATGGTGGACGGACGAGATGGAATTGCTCAGGGGGTGCCATCAATGCCAGATGCTAGCTCAGTTCATCAAGTGGCCCATTTGCTTTGTCAGGAGGTTGGAAAAGATTCATCCCACTGGAAAAATGTTTATTTTTTCAGAGGAGGGAAAAAATGGAACCATTGAATTGATGGAGCCCCTGATGAAGAAATCTCTAGAATCATGGAATTAGTTGGAAGAAGAACAGCCAAAGCAACTATCACGTGTGCATGTTATATCCAGTTTAAAGAAGATAACCAGTCATCCTTGTGCTCTTAGACTTTATAGTGAAGCTGTGAAAATTACCCACGAGTTCCCTCAGATTTTTCTTTGGGCATTGTGCGATAGGATCAACCTTGACGGATTTGTTTATGATTGCAAATGAGCTACATTGAAGACTATTAAAGAAGGCCCCGTTTTTGAAGAAGAATCCTGTGGTTTCCAATAATCAATTTGCTCTCTCTTGAAATTTTATTTACCTAATTTTAGATATTCCAATCTGCACGTGTTTTTATTGTTGTTGTTTTGGTGAGGAAGATTGCCCCTAACATCTGTGCCCATCTTCCTCTGTTTTCTGTAGGACACGACCACAAGATGGCTTGATGAGCAGTGCTAGGTCTGTGCCCAGGATCCGAACCCAAAAACCCTGAACTGCTGAAGCGGAGTGCACAAACTTAACCACTACACCACTGGGCCAGCCCCCAAATCTGCACTTTTTGATGGAACCAGTATACTGACAATTCTCATCTAAGTCCTCTTATAAAGAAGCACTTCTCAAGTATATGGAATGATCAGATGCAAGAACAAAACAGTTGTCCGAGTTCAGTTTTCTGTTTTACTAATAAAAATTAAAATGCTACATACTATGGGTCATTTCATTCTTATTCTTTTAGTCATATATTCAAGCATGAACTTGGAATTTCATAGTTGTAAGGTCAGGTCTTAGACCTACCAAATGAAACCCTACATCAACTATATCAAAGATTTACTCACTACCTCACAAATTATGCCACGTTAACTAATTGTTTGATACTCCTTGTAAAAAATGATTTTGACAAATTAAAAGAGCAAGCAGAACCCTACATCTTCTGTAATTTGTGAAGAACCTCTTTTTTGGGGATTTTAAAACTGAGCACTTACTACTGCCAAACAAGGGACACATGATCATTAAAACAGTTGATGAAATTGTTAGGTTTTTTTTCTTCCTTTCAACTGTCATTATCCTTAGTATGGAATTCCTGTTTACCATCAAGTAATTTTAGGGGTGGGCAAGGAGGGATGTGGCACGCGTAGGCCAGAGGATGATGCAAAATAACTTGTGATGAACTGCATGGCCAGTTAGGTTTCATAGCTTGACCCATTCTTTTCAGTGAAGAAATAAACTAATTCCAAATCCACTTAGATTGTAAATTATACCAAAAATATTTATTTTAAATTGACATAAACTTCAACTTTCATCATACCAAAATACTCTGCAAATTACTTAAAGGACATTGCCATAGCCACTTATGGGAAAGCATTTTAAAGATTTTATTTTTTTTTTCCTTTTTCTCCCCAAAGCCCCCCAGTACATAGTTGTATATTCTTCGTTGTGGGTCCTTCTGGTTGTGGCATGTGGGACGCTGCCTCAGCGTGGTTTGATGAGCAGTGCCATGTCCACGCCCAGGATTCGAACCAACGAAACACTGGGCCGCCTGCTGCGGAGTGCACGAACTTAACCACTCAGCCACGGGGCCAGCCCCGCATTTTATTATGGAAAGTGAAGACAATTATAACTGAAACTTAGGAAGGACACCAGCCAGTGTCAATAACAGCATTATCTTGGATGCTAGAGAAGGGGTCCGTCCTCACTTGTGTTAACCTCCGAAAACTCAGTGCTATTGAATGTTAAAAGTGCCCTGCCTGAAATCTTCCCTTGAGCTGCCATGTTTAGTAAATTGGACTAAATGAAGAGGGGATCTTGCTTTCTGTCGATGAATCCTTTATGCTAATGATTTATGGTGCCACACCTCTGGTCCCAAACTCACTTCTGAGCTGCACAACATCTGCACCTGGCTGTCTGACCAGCACTTCAATTGGAGCAGGTACAGTTTAACCCAGCAGAGCTCACCTTCCAAGTGTTCCCTGATTTTTTACAATAATTTTATTGAGATACAGTTCACATATCATACAACTTACCATATTTCAACTGCACAACTCAATGACTTTTAGTATATTCACAGAGTTGTGCAACGACCACCATAATCAATTTTAGAACACTTTTATCACCCCCAAAAGAAACTCTGTACTGTTTACCTATCATGGCCCAACCCCTCCACCACCACTACTCACCCCCCAGCCCTTAGCGACCAGTAATCTGCTTTCTGTCTTATATGTACGCCTATTCTGGACATTTAATGTAAATGGAATCATATAATATATGGTCTTTTGTGACTGGATTCTTTCACCCAGCATAACATTTTCAAGATTCATCTATACTGTAGCATGTAGCTTCATCCTTTTTTATGGCCAAATAATATTCCATTATAGCACATTTTGTTTATCCGTTCATCAGTTGGTGGACATTTGGGTTTCTACCATTCAGCTAGAAGGAATAATGCTATTATGAACATTTGGGTATAAGTTTTTCTGTGTACATGTTTTCATTTTTCTCAGTTATATGCCTAGAGTGGAACTTCTGTGTCAAATGGAAAATATGTTCAACTTTTTAGGAACTGCAAAACTGTTTTCCAAAGTGGCTGCACCATTTTACACCCCCAGCAGCAGTATACAAGGATTCTAATTTCTCCATATCCTCAACAACACTTGTTATTATCTGACTTTTTTATTATAGTTATCCTTATGGCTGTGCAATAGTATCTCATTGTGGTTTTAATTTGCCCTGTTTCTGTTAAGGTTGCCATAAGCCACCCAATTGCCCAGAAATGCATGAATACCTCCTTTTCACTGCCATTGCCACTGTACATTCAGGTGACTGTCATCTCTCCCTTGAACTGTGACAGCCATAGGTATACAACTGGACTTCCTGTTGCCAGCCTCCTCCCATCATCCAGACAATAAGGCTGTATTAAACATCAGTTGTAACTATTATACTGTAAAGCTTAGAAACCTGATAAGTATAAACAGGGGAATGCTTCCTGGGAAGCATGCAGTAGAGAAACCTCGCAAACACTACCTTAATGAAGTGATCAAGGTTAAGCTCACCAGTGATGTCAGGCGGATATCATGTGCCTTCTAACGTGATGTGATGAGAAGGGCACTTCACTTCTGTGGTAGTTTTTCCAATATCCTGAACTCCAGTCTATCACGAGAAAACATCAGACAAACCCAAATTGAGGGATATTCTACAAACTGTCTGATCGGCACCCCTCAAAACTGTCAAGGTACTGAAAAACAAAGAAACACTGAGAAACTCACAGAGCAGAGGAGACTAAGGAGACATGACAACTAAATATGATGCAAGATCACGGATTGGCTCCTGGAACAGAAAAAGGACATCAATGGAAAAACTGGTGAAATCTGAATAAAGCCTGGAGTTCAGTTAATAATAATGTACCTATGTTAGTTTCTTAATTTTGACAAATGTATCACGGTAATGTAAGATAACATTAAGGCAGAGGAACTGGATGAGGGGTTAGAGGAGGGGTTAGACAAGAATTCTCTGTACTATCTTTGAAACTTTTCCGTAAACCTAAAGTTACTCCAAAATTTAAAAAATATATTTTTGAAAAGCTACAAGAAATTACATAATTAAGAATAAATTTCTAGGGCCAGCCTGGTGGCGCAGTGGTTAAGTGCCCACATTCCACTTCTCGGTGGCCCAGGGTTCGCCCGTTTGGATCCCAGGTGCGGACATGGCACCGCTTGGCAAGCCATGCTATGGCAAGTGTCCCACATATATATAGAGGAAGATGGGCACAGATGTTAGCTCAGGGCCAGTCTTCCTCAGCAAAAAGAGAAGGATTGGCAGTAGTTAGCTCAGGGCTAATCTTCCTAAAAAAAAAAAAAAAAAGAAGAAATTTCTAGGGGCCGGCCTGGTGGCACAGCGGTTAACTGTGCACGCTCTGCTTGGGTGGCCCAGGGTTTGTCGGTTCGGATCCCGGGTGCAGATATGGCACCACTTGGCAAGCCATGCTGTGGCAAGTGTCCCACATATAAAGGAGAGGAAGATGGGCACAGATCTTAGCTCAGGGTCAGTCTTCCCCAGTGAAAAGAGGAGAGTTGGCAGCAGTTAGCTCAGGGCTAATCTTCCTCAAAAAAAAAAAAAAGTCAATCCATCATGAAGACAATATTTACAAATGTGTACAAACATTAACAAATCTCAAAATACATGAAGCAAAAATTTACAAAAGCCAAAGAAAAATAAATTAATTTCACAATCATGGTAGAAGTTAACACCCTTTCTCAATAACTGATAGGAAAAAAGCAGACCAAAATATCAGTAAAGATCTAGAAGATCCAAAAACACTATCAGTAGCTTTAACCTAATTAATATTTATGGAACCCCAAAACTGAAGAATACACATCCTTTACCAATGCCATATGCTAGGTCATAAAACAAGTATCAATAAATTTATAAGGACTGAAATCACACAGAGTATGTTCTCAGACTACAACGTAAGTAAATTTAAAACCAATAACAATAAGATATTTAAAGAAACTCCAAGTACTTGGAAATTAAAGAATATATTACTAAACAATCCACAGGTCAAAGAATAAATCACAAAGAAATTATAAGGTATTTTAAACCAAAGGATAATAAAACTACAAAATATCAAAATTTGTGAGATGCAGCAAAAGCAATGCTTAGAATATTATAGCTTTATGTGTTGATACTAGAAAAGAGGAAAGGCTTCAAGATGCTTTTAAGAAAGGAACAAAGGAAAATATATATAAAATCAGAAATCAATGAAATAGAAAACAGACGATACAGAAAAGTAAGGAGGCCAAAGCTGGCTCTTTGAAATGATCAACAAAACTGGTAAACTCCTAGACAGATTAAGAGAAAAAGAGATATGCAAATAACCAATATCAGGATTAAAGATGAGTTATTACTACATATCCTATAGACATTAAAAGAACAATAGGAAGGGCTGCCCCATGACCTAGTGGGTAAGTTCAGTGCACTCTGCTTTGGCCGCCTGGAGTTCTGTTCCCAGGCACAGACCTACACCACTTGTCAGCAGCCATGTTGTGGCAGTGACCCACATACAAAATAGAGGAAGACTGGCACAGATGTTAGCTCAGGGCCAATCTTCCTCAAGCAAAAAGAGTAAGATTAGCAACAGATGTTAGCGCAGGGTGAGTCTTCCTCAGCAAAAAAAAAAAGAAAAGAAGAAGAAGAAGAAGAAGAAGAAAATATTATGATGACTTTATGCCAACAAACTTAACAACTTTGATGAATTGGGAAAATTCCTTAAACATACAATTTAACAAAACTGACATCAAATGAAACGAGAAATCTGTATAGTCCTATATCTATGAAATAAATTGAATTCCTTATCAAAACTCTTCCCACCAAAAAAACTCCAGGACCAGATGGTTTCAATGAATGAATTATATCAAATATTGAAAGAAAAATTAACACCAATCTTATACAAGTACTTTTAGAAAAATAGAAGAGGAGGAAACACTTGCCAATCCATTTTATAAGGCCACCATGACCCTAATACCAAAACTTGATAAAGATATTAGTAAAACAAACAATTTCAGACCAATATCTTCATGAAGTAGATGCAAAATTCCTCAACAAAAGTTACAAGGCGAATCCTGCAAGATATAAAAGGGATAAGAAACAATGATCACATAGAGTTTGTCCCAGAAATGCAAGGTCAATTTAACACGCAAAAGTCAAACAACATAATTCAGAAATAGACCCATAAGTACATTTCAATTGTTGACAGAGAGTCCGAAGACATCCAATTGAGAAAGAAAAGTCCTTTCTGGGATAACTGGATATCCATATGGGGAAAACAAATGAAACTTGAATTCTACTTCACACCATAGACAAACATTAACTTTAGATGAATCATAGACCTAAATGTAAAGTCTAAAACTATAAAGTATTTAAAAGAAAATGTAAGATAATATCTTCATGACTTAGGGGCAGGTAGAAGTTTCATAGACAAGACACAAAATGCAATAATCATAAAAATTAATCATTTAGACTTTGCCGAATTAAAAACTTCCGCTCATCAAAAGACTTGATTAAGAAAATTAATAGGGAAGCCAGAGACTAGGAGAAAATGATCCTGAGACGTATATCTGACAAAGGACTTGTGGTTCAAGGAATATAAAGAACTCCCAAAACTTAATAAAATGATACACGACAATAAAAAATGGGTAAAAGATATGAAAAGACACTTAACAAAGAAAGATATATAAATGGCCAACACATATCTGAAAAAGGTGCTCAACATCATTACTCATCAGATAAGTGCACCTAAAAGCACAACGATATACCATTAAACCCCCATGAATTAAGTATAAGTGGTACCCGAATAATGGTACCCCCAGGCACTTTGCAGAAACAAACTGAAATGTTCCCTGGAGTAAGACACCTCCATTCTAGGTCTTAACCTATTCCTACAAATAATTTCTCCAGAACAAGGAGAAGCACAGCACTTAAGGAAAAAAGGTGTCACTAGTGAGAACTGACAGAAACAACAGACGGCAGAATCAAATTAGCAGAGACATCAAATACTGGAATCCTTAGACAAAGTCAATAAAATAACTGGTTTCCATTTTTAAAGAAATAAATGAAAAGTTTGAAAACATCTGCAGGATTCTATAAAAAGTGATTTAACAGATTTTAAAAAAATAGAATTCCTAGAAATGAAGAACACAATGAGTGAAACAAAGTTTATTTGATGGATTTAACAGTGGTTTAGATTCTGCTGAAGACAGCACTGGTGAACTGAAATAGGTCAGAAAAACAACCAAGAACGTAGCACTGAAATATAGTGACATGGGAAATACAAAAAGGAGGTCAAGAAACACAGAAGTTAAAGTCTGACAAATATTTAACTGGAGTTCCTAAAGGAAAGAACAAAAAATGGTGCAGAAACAATGTCTGAAGACATTACAACAGAATTTTCCAGAACTGATGAAACACACCAATCCTAGATTAAAAAAGCCCAACAAAGTCCAAGGGAGACAAAAGAAACTTCAAATATAGACATATCATTATAAAATACTTCAAAACAGGAGCCAGCCCAATTGAACAGTGGTTAAGTTTGCCCACTCCACTTCAGTGGCCCAGGATTCATGGGTTCGGATCCCAGGCATGGACCTAGCACTGCTGGTCAAGCCACGCTGTGGCAGCATCCCACATAAAATAGAGGAAGATTGGTGTGGATGTTAGCTCAGCAACAACCTTCCTCAAGAAAAAAGAGAAAGACTGGCAACACATGTTAGCTCAGGGTGAATCTTCCTCACAAAAAAACCTCCAAAAAAACAAAAAACACTTTAAAACAATTATAAGAAGAATACAGATTATCTGTAAAGGAGAGACATAAAGGTGACTTCTCAATGGCAGAAATGGAAGCCACAAGACAGTGGTAGGATATGATCAACATATTAAAAGAAAACAACCTGCCAATCTAGAATTTTAAGCCCTAAAAAACTTTACCTTTTAAAATGAGGGTAAAATAAAAATAGTTTACAATAGACAAAAATTTTGAAAATCAGTCACCAAGAGATCCTCATTAATGGAAATTCTAAAATATCTGCTTCAAGAAGAAGGCAAGTAGTCCCAGACGGGTGAGTTGAGAAACAAGAGTGATAAATACAAAATATATATATTTAAAATATATAAAATATGTAAGAAAATCCGAATGAAAAAAGTGATTATATGAAACAAAATAATAATGTCCTGAGAGGTTAAAAAGTAAAAATTAAAAGCATCAAAACAACATAAAAGTTGTGAAAAAGGGACATAGAATTTAAATATTCTAAGTTCTTTGTATCTTCTGGGAGGAGGGGAAATATACTATAATTTCTATAAGTTAGGTGTGCGTTTGTTAAGTTCTAAGATGACCACTAAATAAACACAGAATATAAAACTTTATAACTATTAGAAGGACAAAAATATACATAATAATAAAAAATACCAGTCTGCTTACCTACCAAAATTGATAAAATTAAGAAGACTAACACCAAATGTTGAAAAGAGGTGGAGCACCTGGAACTTCCCTAGATTGTTGCTGAGTGTGAATGGTACAAGCATTCTGAGAAAGGTCTAGCAGTTTCTTATGAAACAGGACTTGTTGAATCTTAGTTCTTATTAAACTCTAGACCCAGTAATTCCACTCCCATGGGTTTACCCGAAAAAAACATAAAAACATAAGCCACAAAAAGATTTTTACAAGAAGCCATAGCAGCGTTATTCATAATAACCAAAGATTAATGAAATAGAAAACAAATATACAATGGAAATCAACAAAGCCCAAAAGATCTTTGAAAGAACTAAAAAAAACTGACAATCTTCTAGTGAGACTGATCAAGAAAAAGGAGAGAAAGTACAAATAAGCAATATTAGGAATAAAAGAGGGGACATTACTATAGATATTGCAAATAAATAATAACAATAATAATAATGAATATTAACATTATGGCACCAATAAATTTGGAAAAATAGATTAAATACTCAAATACCTTTAAAAAATTAACCAGAGCCAGCCCTGATGGCCTGGGGGGTAAAGTTCTGCATGCTCCGCTTTGGCAGCCTGGGTTCAGTTCCCAGGCATGGAACCACACCTCTCACCTGTCAGTAACCACATTGTGGCGAGGGCTCACACAGAAGAACGAGAAGAACTTAACAACTATACACAACTATGTGCCGGGGCTTTGGAGAGGGGAAAGGAAGAAAAAAAGGGGTAAGACTGGCAACAGATGCTAGCCTAGGGCGAATCTTCCCCTGCAAAACACAAAACAAAACAAAACAAAAACTCGTTTAAAAGAAAAAGAAAAATTAGCCAAGAACTACCTCAGGAAGAATAGAAAGCCCAAGAAGTCCTGTAACCATTAAATAAATTGAATCTGTAATCAAAAATATTTCATTGGGGCTGGCCCCGTGGTCAAGCAGTTAAGTTCACACACTCCGCTTCAGTGGCCCAGGGTTCGCCAGCTCGCAAGCTGGGTGCAGACCTACACACCACTCATCAAGCCATGCTGTGGCGATGTCCCGCACAAAAAAACTAGAAGGACTTGCAACTAGGATATACAGCTATGTACTGGGGCTTTGGGGAAGGAAAAAAAAAAAGAGAGAAAACTTGGCAACTGATATTAGCTCAGGGCCAATCTTCCTCATCAAGAAAAAAAAAAGGCATACCTTTAAAAAAAACTGAGAAAGAATAATAACATTTGCATCAAAAAACAAAAACAAAACACCTGTTTACACGCCCCATGCACTTTTGTGAATGCATATTTTATTTCACAATTTGGAATGCTAAAAATAAAACAGCAAGAACAAGAAGATACGGCCAGAGAATTCGGAGAAACGCTGGCAGAAAACGCTGTCACAAAGAACTAAAAAGATACAAAAAAGTAACCAAGAGCCACAGATCATCAACACAAAATCAAATGAGAGAAACTCTAAAGCGGGTCCACAGTGATTTCTTTCTTTGGGGTTTTGCTTTCCTGTTGGTGGGAGGGGGCAGGTTGTAGCAATAAACAGCAAAACAGAAATCTTTACTCAATTCGCTCAAAAGTTAACCAAGTTGAGGAAGCTGCAGACATTGATGTGGCAGTCGGCGCCTCACCTAAAAAGCACCAATCTTCACGACAACTCGCCTGCCAGCAGCTGCGAGGTGACAGTCCTCACACACACGAGGAGGACGTCCCATTCCCATAACTCATGTTGCGGACACTGATTCCGGGTTCCACTAAAAAAAAAGGAAAATTGCATTCCTGCAAAACAGACACCCCCTCCCCTGAGCACATTCCAAACCTGTACTCCTTCCAACAAGTTTTCTGGTTAATTAGTCAATTCGACCCTTCCGTGGCAAACTGAGATGCTGCCAGCTGGCCACGTGCGACACCTAGAAAGCCCGCCGGACCCTCGGCAGACCCCTTGCTCCCAGGCTCGGGAGGCCCCGGGGGCGACCCTACGTGGGAAACCCCACAGCAGCCCTGCAGCGAGCCCTCGGGGGGGAGCTCGGGGTCCCCAGAGACGCCCGTTGCTCAGCTTCCCTCGCTCCTTGGAACCGTGACCCCCAGACAGGAGAGGAGGAGCTGTGGAGGCTCCTCGAGGGGCGGGGAGTCGCCGTTCGTCCCTCCCCCGCCCGAGGGGACGGCGACGGGGACGGGGCCAGGCCGAACTCTGCCGTGCGGGAGCCTGAACCGATGGGTCCAGCGGGCAGGACTCCTGGGCTCGGCCCTGGCGCCGACTTGAAGTCAGCTTCCGTGGGCGGAGGGGCTGAACCCCATCTCCTGGGTCCGAGGGGACAAAGGAGGGACCCCTGAGGCCTATGTGACCCCCTCGGCTCCACAGCGACCGGGGCGTCCGGGAGGCTCCCGGCCGGCGGCCTGTTACCCCCAGAGCCGCAGCCGCAGACGTGACGCCCAGCCTCGACGCCCAGACTCACACATCCCACATCTGGGAGCGTTTCCGGGTTCCCCGGGGCCACCCTCACCCTAGGCTGGGGGCCTGGGCTCTTCCGTCTTAGTCAGTCAGACGAAAAGGAGGGTGAAGAAGCCTCAACTGAGAAGCCCAGCTACCCCCTCGGGCCCCTTCAGGCCTCGTCAGGCCGGTGCGCGACGCTCCTCGCTCCGCCTCAGGCGCCTCCCTTCCCGCCGTTCCTCTGCGCATGCGCTGCTGCTCCCGCTGCGCCCCCTCCTGAGCTCGCGGAGCTCGCCACTCCGCCCTCTCTGCATGCGCTTCCTCTCTACGTGCGCGCGCGCGCGCGCGCGCACAAGCACACGCCCTCCACCTGCGCATGCGCCGCTGCCTTTCTAGCCGCGCCCTTTGGACCACGTGCCCAACCCTCTGTCCCGGTCTGGTCCTCACCTCCTCTGCTCTTCCCGGGCCTTTAGCCGTTTCTTGGTCTAGAGCTTATGCTTTCCTTCCACACCTCCCAGTAAGGTCGTGGTGAGGATGAGGTGGAAGGCTTGTTCTTCCCGTTCGTTCCTTTCTGACTTCAAACCTTCGACTCTTACTTAAAGGCTGCCCCACTCCTAGCCAAATCTTAAATATGTGTCCGACAAGACAGACATGGACCTTGCCTTCAGAGAGCTCAGGAATCTACTGGAATTGCAGACAAGAATCAAAAACCCAGACAAAGATTTACTTAGGTCAATGGCTCTCAAACTTTTTGGTCTCAGGACTGCTTTTATACTCTTAAAAATTAAGGACCCCAGTAATTTATGTGGGTTACATTTATGTAGGTTGTATGTTTATGTGAGTTACGTCTATCAATATTAAAACTGAGAAATTCTAAGATATGTATTGTCATCAAAAATCCATTGTGTTAACATAACGTTTTTTTAAAGTGTCTATGATTTTCACACCAAAAATAATTTAGTGATAAGACTATTTTACACTTTTGCAAGTTTCTTTAATGCTTGGCTTAATAGAATACAGTTGGATTCTAATTTCTGCTTTTGCATTGGGTCTGTTGAAAGAGCTCCTGTCCTGTAGCTTCTGGAAACGTCACTGTATGCTCAAGAGAAAATGAGAGTGAAAAGGCAGATAACATCCTAATAGTGTTAGGAAAATAATATTCATTTCATGGACCCCTGAAAGTGTCTCAGGAACCCCCAAGGGTCCCTGGCCCACATTTTGAGAACCACAGGCTTAAATCATTATGATTGAACAAAGAGATGTTTGGTGTCTAGGTGCTGTAAGAATGCATCATAATATGTGGAAATTATTCCATCCTTGAACACGTGGACTCAGTTTGGAGGGAGGAGTTCTCTGAGGAAGTAACATTGAAGCTGAGGCTTGAAGGAGAACTTACTAGTGAAAAATGAGGTATGAGGGGGCTGGCCCCGTGGCCAAGCGGTTAAGTTCACGCGCTCCACTGCAGGCGGCCCAGTGTTTTGTTGGTTCGAATCCTGGGTGCGGACATGGCACTTCTCATCAAACCATGCTGAGGCAGCATCCCACATGCCACAACTAGAAGGACCCACAATGAAGAATATACAACTATGTACCAGGGGGCTTTGGGGAGAAAAAGGAAAAAAATAAAATCTTTAAAAAAAAAAATGAGGTATGAGCATCTCAGGCCCTGAGAATATGCCAAGGCCCTGAGGCAGGAAAATCTGTGAACTCAAGTCATCAAGAAAAATGTTGGTCAATAAATACTTATTGAATGATGTGCCCACACTGCCCTAGACCCTAGAGATACTGTTATGAAAAAGATTTTACATTCTAGTGGCAAAAAGACAGTAAATACACAAACAAATAGGAATTTCCAAGGATGGGAGTGCCATTAAGAAAACAAAATAGAGTGTTATTAGGGGACTAGGCAGGGAGCTATAGACAGAGTAGTCAAGAAAGACCTCTCGGAGGAGGTGATGTTTGAGCAGAGTCTTTTTTTTTTTTTTTTTTTTAAGGATTGGCACCTGGGCTAACAACTGTTGCCAATCTTTTTTTTTTCTGCTTTATTTCCCAACACCCTCCCTGCCCGCCCCCGCCGGCCCCCCCCCCCGCCCACATAGTTGTATATCTTAGTTGCAGGTCCTTCTAGTTGTGGGATGTGGGACGCCGCCTCAACATGGCCTGACAAGTGGTGCCATATCCGCGCCCAGGATCCAAACCCTGGGCCGCCACAGCGGAGCGTGCGAACTTAACCACTCGGCCACGGAGCCGGCTCCTGAGCAGAGTCTTGAAGGAGATGAGGGAGAAGCTGTGAACAGCATGGGGAAGAGCATTCCAGGTAGAGGGAAGAGCAGTGACAAAGACCTTGAGGCAGAAGTGTACTTGACAGGTTCGTGAAGCAGCAAGGAGGACAGTGTGGCTGGATCCCAGTGACTGAGGGATAGGGTGGTAGTAGATGGGATCAGAGAAGTAGCAGGGGCCTGAGTATTGTATGGAGGGCCTTGTAGGTCATGGTAGGAAGTTGGGGTTTTTTTCCTGAGTGAGATGAAAACCTATTAGAGGGTTTTCAGTCAATAAGTGATTTATGTTTTAACCGGAGGATCCCTCTAGCTTCTGGGCAGACAATAATATGTGTGGGCTAAGGGTAGCTTCTGGTGGCTCCAGGCTTGTATCTGTATAACTCCAATCTCTGCCCTTCTCTTCTAGGAGTGTCTCTCCTCTGGGTGTCTCTTATAAGGACACTTGTCATTGGATTTAGGGCCTACTCCAATAATCTAGGATAATCTCATCTTGAAATCCTTAATTTAATTACATCTGCAAAGACCCTTTTTCCAAATAAGGTCACATTCGCAAGTTCTGGGGGTTAGGACAAGAATGTATCTTTTGGGGAGCCACCATTGAACCAACTAGAGTATGTCTGGGATGGGGACTGAAAATATGCATTTCTAGCAAGTTCCCAGGTGACACTGATGTTGTCCTTGCAGGGATCACAATCACCAACATAGAGAAGTCAAGCAAGAGGGGGACCAAAAATTGACAGCATGGATATCATTGGTGACTTTGACGAAAGTGGGTTTGGTGGATGAGTCAGGATAAAAATCTACTGGAGTAGATTCAAGGGAGACTTGAAGAGAGGAAGCAGCAGTGAACACAGACAGCTGTGTAGTGGCTTTTATTATCAAGAAGAGGAAGAAATGGAACAAAAGTGTGGAAGGATGGATGGTCAAGGAATGAGTTTTTAACATGGAAGAAATAATAGCACATTTGTATGCTAGTAGGAAGGAGTTGGTAGGGAGGGGGAACCTGAAGATTCAAAGGAGAGAGGAACAAATCATAGCAGGGATGTCCTTAAGGAGGCAAAAAAAGATGGAAGAGAGCATGCAGGTGGACTGGTTTCCCTTAGGGCTGAGTGGTCCGATATGGTAGCCACTCGCCACATGTGGCTTCTGAGCACTCAAAATATACTGAGTCCAAATTGATATATGCTCTCAGTGTAAAATACACACTGGATTTCATAGACTTAGTACAAAAAGAAGACTGTAAAAGATCTCACTAGTATTTTTTATATTGATTATATGTTAATATTTTAGATATGTTGGATTAAATAAAATATATTATTAAAAATAATTTCATTTCTTTTTTTTAAATATTTATACTGGTATTATCTGTAATAACCCAAAACTGGAAACAACCAAAATGTACATCCACAGTTGAATGGATAAATAAATTGTGGTATATTCAGACAGCAGAATACTGTAGAGTGGTGAGAATGTAAGAACTGTTGCTAGTTATTCCACTGATGAATCTCACAAACATAATGTTGAACAAAATCAAGTCAAACACAAAAGAATACTTACTGTATGGTTCCATTTACATAACAAAAAACAGGCCAAACCAAAGGATGGTGCTGTAAGTCAAGAGAAAGGGGTTAGTGATTTGCAAGGGCGTAAATGGTTTCCAGGTTGATGATAATGTTGATCTTAGTTACATGGGCATTTACTTTGTCATAATTCATTGAGCTGTACATTGTGATTTGTGAACATTACTATATGGGTATCATCCTTCACAACAACAACAAAAAAAGGTAAAAAATAGCATTGTGCACCCAAAACTACTAAAAGAAAATTTGAAAGTACCGGAGTTTGTCACAGATCTGAATTTTGATACTGGTTAAAATGTAGTTACAGGTATTCTACCCATAGCAGTCAGGATTATTAAAGCTGGTTGCTTTAACATACAACTCCAAAATATTAGTAGCTTAATGCAATAGATTCGTACTTATATAAAGTCCAAAAGGCTCTCCTCCAAGGAGAGACCAGGGACCTAACCTCCTTAATCTCTTGTCTCTCCATCCCTGAGTTCTCCAGTGACTTCTCAGCTTCCAGGCAGCCAATGAGTGAAGGGAGAGAGACGAGGTAAAAACTGTACAGGACATTTTATGGCCAAGTTCAGAAGTGGCCTGTATCACTCTGCACCCGCTCCATTGGCCCAAGACTAGTCACATGGCCTCAACCTCACTGCAAGGAGGCCTGGGAAGTGTAGTCTTCCCTCTGTGCCTAGGAAAGAGGAAACCAAATTGGTGAGCATCTAGAGAATCTCTGCCACCCATCCTTGGACCTCCAGTTGCTCATGTCCTCACCTCTGAGGAAAGGATTAGTGTGTGGAAGAGAGGGAGATCGGTGTTTTAGTTTACTGTGACTGCAATAACAAACTATCACAAACTTGGCAGCTTAAAACAACAGAAATATATTCTCACACAGTTCTGGAGGCCAGAAGTCCAAAATCAAGGTGTTGGCAGGGCTACACTCCCCTCTTAAGGCTCTAGAGGGGAATCAGATCTTTGCCTCTTCCAGCTTATAGTCGCTGCAGGACTCCTCTGGCTTGTCGCTGCGTAACTCCCATCTCTGCCTCTCTCTTCACATGACATTATCCTCTTCTCTCTGTCTTCTCCTCTGTGTGTCTCTTACAGCACTGGACACTTGTCAGTAGATTTAGGGCCCACTCGGATAATCCAGGTTGATCTTATCTTGAGATCCTTAACTTAATTACATCTGCAAAAACGCTCTTTTCCAAAGAAGGTCACATTCACAGATTCCAGGACATGATACACACCTTTTGGGGGGATCACCATTCAACCCACTACAATTAGTTCAGCAGCAATTATAATTATCTGTGTGGAAAATGATGAGAGCCTGGATTAGGATGGTGGCCTTGGAGTTGGAGAAAAGTGGATGGATTTGAAATATGTTTTAGTATATATACTAAAGGATATTATTATAATTTAGTATATAGTTTAGTATATAATACTAAAGGATATTATTTATATTATTATTTAGTATATATACTAAAGGATATTAGAGGACTTCATGATAGCTTAGAAGTGGGAGCTGAGGACAAGGGGTGGTCTGGGTTTCATAGGGCCATGAGGGGAATGGACTGGAGGGGAGACTAAGGCCAAGGAGGAGCCTGAGGTCTGGGCTCAAGACGGAAAACACAAGACCTGGTCAGCCTGAGCCAGAAGGACAGAGAGGAGAGGACAGGGTAGAGAATCAGGACGCAGGAGGGATTGGTTTAGGGACTGATGGGCTATATGGGAAAAAGGGAACGAGGATGTCACCCAGGGCTTGGCCCACCTGGGAAGAAAGGATCTGTGAACTTGAAGACAGATCTCTTGATATTATCCAGTCAGAGGAGAAAAAAATAAATAAGAATGAAAAGGAGTGAATTCAGTTCACTAGTATTTTGTTGAGGGTTTCTGCATCTATGTTCTAACCTTATACCTCAAGGAACTAGAAAAAAGAAGAACAAACTAAGTCCACAAGTAGCAGAAGAAAGAAAATAATAATGATTAGAGCATAAATAAATGAAATAGAAACTAGAACGACAGTTTAAAAATCAATGAAATGAAGAGTTGCTTTTTTTAAAAGATAAACAAAATTGACCATCCTTTGCTAAGACTCAGAAAAAAAGATACATGATTCAAATTAATAAAATCATAAATGAAAAGGGAGACATAACAACTGATACCACAGAAATACAAAGGATCATAAGAGACTACTATGAACAATTATACATCAACAAATTAGATAACTTAGAAGAAATGGATAAATTCCTAGAAACACACGACTTACCAAGCCTGAATCATGAAGTAAATCTGAATAGACCAATAACAAGCAAGGAGATTGAGTCAGTAATCAAAAATCCCCCAACAAATAAAAGCCCAGGACCAGATGACTTTATGGGTGAGTTCTACCAAACATTTAAAGAAGAATTAATACCAATATTTCTCAAACTCTTCCAAAAAATTGAAGAGAAAGGAACACTTCCAAAACTCATTTTACAGGGCCAGCATTATCTTGAAACCAAAGTAAGAAGGACACTGCAAGCAAAGAAAATTACAGGCCAATATCCCTGATGAACATAGATGCAAAAATCCTCAACAAAATATTAGCAAACTGAATTCAACAGCACATTAATAGGATCATACATCATGGTCAAGTGAAATTTAGCCCTGGGATGCAAGCATGGTTCACCAAAGGCAAACCAACACATGAGATATACACATTAACAGAATGAAGGATAAAAATCATATGATCATTTCAATAGATGCAGAAAAAGCATTTGACAAAATTTAACAGAGTTTATGACAAAAATTCTTAACAAATTAGGTATAGAAGGAATGTACCTCAACATAATAAAGACCACATATGACAAGCCTACAGCTAACATCATACTCAAGGGTGAAAAGTTAAAAGCCTTTCCTCTAAGATCAGGAACAATACAAAAATGCCCACTCTCATCACTTCTCTTCAATGTAGTACTGGAAATCCTAGCCACAGCAATTAGGCAAGAAAAAGAAATAAAATTTATCCAAATCAGAAAGGAAGAAAATTATCTGTTTGCTGATAACATGATCTTATATGGAAAACCCTAATGACTCCACCAAAAAATTGTTAGAACTGACAAACGAATTCAGTAAAGTTGCAGGATATAAGATCAACATACAAAAATTAGCTGTATTTCTATACACTAACAATAAACTATCTAAAAGAGGAATTAAGAAAGCTATGCCATTTACAATAGCATCAAAAACAATAAAATACTTAGGAATAAATTTAACCAATGAGGTAAAAAATCTGTACACTGAAAACTATAAGACATTGATGAAAGAAATTGAAAAAGACACAAGTAGAAAGATATCCCATGTTCTTGGATTGGAAGAATTAATATTGTGAAAATGTCCATACTACCCAAAGCAATCCACAAATTCAATGCAATCCCTAACAAAATTCTAATGGCATTTCTCATAGAAATAGAAAAAAACTATCCTAAAATTTGTATGGAACTACACAAGACCCTCAATAGCCAAAACCATCTTGAGGAAAAAGAACGAAGTTGGAGGCATCACACTTCCTGATTTCAAACTATATTACAAGGTTATAGTAATCAAAACAATATGGTAATGGCATAAAAACAGGAACATAGGCCAGTGAAACAGAATAGAGAGCCCAGAAATATACCCACACATATATGGTCAATTAATAGTTTTTTTTTTTGAAGATTGGCCCTGAGTGAATATCTGTTGCCAATCTTCCTCTTTTTTTTTTTTCCTGAAAGCCCTGAAGTACATAGTTGTATATAGTAGTTGTATGTTCTTCTACCTCCGCTATGTGGGACGCCGCCTCAGCATGGCTTGATGAGCAGTGCTAGGTCTGTGCCCAGGATCCAAATCAGTGAACCCCGGGCCAATGAAGCAGAGTGTATGAACTTAACCACTTGGCTACGGGGCTGGCCCCAGTGGTCAACTAATCTTTGACAAGAGAGCCAAGAACACATAATGGGGAAAGGATAGTCTCTTCAATAAATGGTGCTGGGAAAACTGGACAGCCACATGCAAAAGAGTAAAACTGAACCACTATCGTACATCACTCACAAAAATTAACTTGAAATGGATTAAAGATTTAAATGTAAGACCTGAAACTGTAAAATTCCTAGAAGAAAACATAGGGAAACAGCTCCTTGAGTTTTGCCAAGTTCGCCTTGGCAAGAATTTATTGGATAAGATACCAAAAGCACAAGAAACAAAAGCTAAAATAAATAAGTAGGATTAAATGAAACAAAAAGAGCTTCTGGACAACAAAGGAAACAATTAATAAATTGAAAGGCAACCTATGAAATGAGAGAAAATATTTGCAAACCATATATCCGACAGGAGGTTAATATCCAAATACATAAAGAACTCACACAACCCGAGCAAAAAAGCAAATAATCCAATTAAAAGATGGAAATGAAGAGACATTTTTCTGAAGAAGATATACAAATGGCCAATAGGTACATGAAGAGGTGCTCAACATCACTAATCATCAGAGAAATGCAAATCAAATCCACAGTGAGATATCACTCACGTCTGTTAGGATGGCTATTGCCAAAAAGACAAGAGATAACAAGTGTTGGGGAGGGTGTGGAGAAAAGGGAACCCTTGTACACTGTTGATGGGCATGCAAATTGGTGCAGCCACTGTGGGAAACAGTGTAGAGGTTCCTCAAAAAATTAAAAATAGAAATACCATATGATCCAGTAAGCCCACGCTCGGGTATATATCCAAAGGAATGAAATCAGGATCTTGAACAGATGTCTGCACATCCATGTTCATTGCAGTGTTATTCACAATAATATAGCCAAGTCATGTAAACAGCCTGGATGTCTTATAGTGGATGAAACGGATCAAGAAAATGTGGTATATATACACAATGGAATATTATTTGGCCATAAAAAGAAGGAAATCCTGCCGTTTGCAACCACATGGATGAACCTGGAGGGCATTACGCTAGGCGAAATTAGCCAGATGCAGAAAGACAAATACTGCACGGTATCATTTATATGTGGAATGTAAAAAAAAAAAAGCCAATTTCATAGAAACAGAGAGTAGAATGGTGGTTGCCAGGGGCTGGGGAGTGGGGGAAACGGGGAGATGTAGATCAAAGGGTACAAACTTTCAGTTATAAGAAGAATAAGTTCTGAGGATCTAACATACAGCACAGCGACTATAGTTAATAACACAGTATTGCGTACTTGAAAGTTGCTGAGAGATCTTAAGCATTCTCACCAGAAAAAAAAAAAAAAGCGTTAACTCTGAGATGATGGATACGTCAAATAGCTGGAGCTTGGTAACCATTCCACAATGTATATGTATATCAAATCATCATGTCACACACTCTAAATATAGACAATCATATTTGTCAATTATTCCTCAATCAAGTTGGGGGGGGGGAAAAAGCCCAGAATCAAAAACCAGGATACTATGAATATGAATTGATTTTTGATGACATTCATAAGAAAATAAATTCCATTAGGAGCCCTTAAAAAAAAAAAGAAAATAGCGGATGAGACCTCTCAGAAAAGAGAGAGGGTGCTAGGTCTCTAAGAGAGGCTGGTTTTCCAGGGCCTGGGTGGATGTCAGGAGGGTAGGAACATCCCTGACATTGCGTATCTGTGAGGAATTTGGGACAAGAGTGGAGAGCCTGGGGGGCCTCGGGGAGACTTCAGAGACTGCTGGGTGTGCAGCCCCGGCTTAGAGACAATCAGGTACTGTCAACCTGGATCTAACTGCTGAGGTCCCAGGCTCCATCCTGGCTCCTCTTCTTGGGGCCCCACTGCAGAGGCAGGAAGCACAGCCTGACGCTCAGCTTCCGCTCTGGGTGCGTTGGTACCGCCCAGGCACCCCCCTCGCTCCCAGGGACCTTCCCATTTGGGGCCTGCAGCACTTTCACTTCCCCCAGGTGCCCAGCCCCTGCCCCAGCACGTGGAAGCACCAAGGTCTACACTTGTCACCAAGAACAGGACACAGACTCTGAGAGAGAGGGGCAATGACAAGGGGGAGGAAGGGGATAGATAAACAGAGAAAGGACAGGCATGCAGAGAGAAGGGGCCAGAAACCCAGAGAGGGAGACGATAGAGACCCCGGGGGTGGGAGGGACACAGACTCAGAGAGAGGACAGAGACCCAGAGGGAAAGAGAGAAATAACAACCAACAGAGAAGGGAACAGAGACCCAGAGAGGGGAGGACCAGAGACCGAGGGCCAGGAGGGGAGGACAGAGATGGAGGCAGAGACGGCAGAGCTTAGCAGGCAGTGAGGTCAGAGTGTCTGTGAGGTCGGCTGCTGTCCAGGGCTGGCCTGGGGTCCTGGTGCCCAGAGTGGGCGGCTGCAAGTAGACCAGGAGTGCCTGTGTGTCCCCCAGCCGAGCCATGGAGACCTGGGAGGGACTGCCTGCTGTGTCCTTGGTGCCCACAGATTCCAAGGCCCCTCAGGTACGGGGGTGTGTGTCCCAGTGGGGCAGGTGAGCGAGATAGGGACGCAGACAGAGAAAAAAGCCACCTCATGTGGAGAGGAAGGGGGCGGGGCTCCGCCCCTGGAACTTCCTCTTTCTCTGTGTTCCTTTCTCCCTCTCTCAGTCTCTCCTTCTCTCTCTCTTTCTCTCTCTCTCTCTTACGGCCTCTGTCTTTCTGATTGTCTCCCCTACTGCCAACACCTCTTCCTGTCCCGTCCCTCCCACTGGTGGCTCACCACTCTGTGCGAAGATGTCGGCCCAGGACAGATGCCTCAGCCTCATCAAGTACCTCCTCTTCGTTTTCAACCTCTTCTTCTTCGTGAGTTGCCTCATGGCTTACCCAGCCCGGGCCCCCCCACACACAATCCCCTCCGCTGCCGCAGCCGCCCAGCCTCCTGGGTCCCCCTTTGCCCACTGCCATATTCTCCTCTCCTCTCCCCAGGTCCTAGGCGGCCTTATTTTCTGCTTCGGCATCTGGATACTCATCGACAAGACCAGTTTCGTGTCCTTTGTGGGTGAGGGGGCTGGGACCAGTGGGGTGGGCCTCCCTGGGGCAGGCTGGACACACCCTCCCCCTAACTGGCCTCCTGGGGTCCCCTTGTCCCAGGGAGGCCCTCAGTGCCCCACTCCCGAGGCAGGTCCCAAGCTTTGCTCCACCGCTCGCCTCTGGCCTGCCCGAGCCTTGGCATCTTCCTCTGATAAATGAGTTGTGCATACTAATACTACTACTAATAATAATAGTAATAATAATAGCCATTCCTCGGGCACATCCTACATGTCAGGCCTTGGGTGGATGCTGATTTTTTCACAAACCTTCCCCTCTCTTGAGGTTCAGAGAGGGGAAGTCACTTACTGGATGTCACCCAGAAAGGAAGCAGAAGAGCAGATGTGACACTGATAACAATAGTAGGAAAATAATAATCGGCTAATCGTCCAAATCCTAATAGCTCATATTTACTTAAGTGTTTGCCCTGGGTTGAACACATGTCCCTCCAAACAACCCTAAGAAATAGATATTATTTATTAAGCCCCTAGGCTGCAGGGAGGTTCAAGTGACCAATCCCATGTCACGGAACGAGTCATGGGGCTGAAACTATTGGTAGGAGGAGCTGAAGGAGGACAGAGAGAGTGAGAGCAAGAAGGAGGGACAGAGACCAGAGAGAAGGAGGGATAGAAATCCAGAGAGAGGGGAAAAGAGACCTAGAGAGAGAAAGGGACAGAGACTAGGGCAAGGACAGATGCCCAGAGAAGAGTGCCAGGAGCCCAGACAGAGGGCCCCAGGATGCTCCTCCCTACTTGGGTGGCTGCGTGGGTGGGGAACAGGGCTGCCTGCCTGGAGCTGCATGCTTGGGGCCCAATGTCACTGCCTCTCCTCTCCCCCAGGCTTGTCCTTCATGCCCCTGCAGATCTGGTCCAAGGCCCTGGCCATCTTAGGAATCCTCACCATGGGCCTGGCCCTCCTGGGCTGTGTGGGGGCCCTGAAGGAACTCCCCTGCCTCCTAGGCCTGGTGAGTGCCCCGTCGCCTCTCCAACCCTGGGACCACGGACATCCCCCCTCAAATAGAGCTCTGGCAGCCCCTGACACCCAGGGAGGGGCTCGGTCTGATCTCTCCACTCTGCCCCCCAGTACTTTGGGATCCTGCTGCTCCTGTTTGCCACGCAGATCACCCTGGGAATCCTCATCTCCACTCAGGGGGGCCGGGTGAGCTTGTCTTCCCCTCCTACTGTCCCCTGCAGCTAGTGGCGGCGGGGGGGGGGGGGGGGGGCTTGGAGGGGATGGAAAGAGATGGAAACAAAGACAGGTGAGAGCTGAGATAGATAAAGAGATATAACAGAGGCAGAGGAAGATGGAGAGAAACAGACACAGAAAGAGACAGAAGAGAGAGAGATACAGAGACTGGCAGAAAGATACAGAGAGAGAGAGACAGACAGACAGACAGGGAGAGTCAGAGAGAGACTCACCGACACAGACAGAGGAAGAGACATAGCAAGAGAGAAAGAAATCCAAAGGGAAACAAACAAACAGAAAATAAATAAATAAATAAATAAAAAACACGCAGAGAGACAAAAGGCTCCGAGGCAGTGACAGGGACCTAATGAGAGATGGTGGGAGACAGAGGGAGAAACAGAAAGACAGATGGTAGAAACTGGCAGAGATTTTGAGGAACAAAAGCATAGCTAGCCATTCCGTGAGGAACTGAGGCAGACATAAGGATGCTCAGGGACCCCTTGGGGCTGACACACCCGGGGAGTGGCGCGAGTGGGTCGGAGCAGGTAGGGGTGGGGAGGCGGGAAGGGGTCCAGCCTCTCACTCTTGGCCTCTCAGCTGAAGCGGAGAGTGAAGGACATCGTCCTGGAGACTATCCAGAACTACCGCACCAACCCGGAGCAGACTGGGGCCGAGGAGAGCTGGGACTTCGTGCAGTTTCAGGTGCGTGAGGTCCCCACCCCCTGGGACGTGTATCCCTCCCTCCAGCTCTGAGACTGACGGGGATCGGCTCTCGGTCGAGGAGACTTCGCCCCAACGGAGCCCGGGCCCCCAGGTCCAGGACCCTCCTGTAACCCTACCTACGCACCCCACCTCCTGCCATGCCGGACGTGGGCCCGCCCTCAAATAACAAATCTGGCCTCAATGTGGCCCAGTCTCCCAGCTGCCAGACCTTGGAATGGCTCCATCTTTTGCCTCGACAAGACTCCGCCCTCAGGCCCCAGGCCCTAGGGTGACCCCACTGCCTGCCTCGTAGTGACTCTGGCTCCCACGGGCTCACGTGAGGCTCCATTCCCTGGTCATTCATGTGGCCCCGCCCTCCATCCACCTGTCCCATACCTGAGGCTGAATTGCACTGCCCACCCAATCTTCCGTCCACAGCGTGATTCTGCAGCTCCTCCCCCAGCCCCAGCTCGCCCCGTGATTCGTCTCTCCCAACCCTATGTTCCCCTAATGAGCTCTGGCCCCGTCGTGACCCCAGCCCACACCCCACTGCACCCACCACTTAGCCCTCTGCTCTCCAAAATGACCTCATACACATCCCCCAGTCCTCTGATCCCCCCACATCATCTTGCATCTCCCCAGTCCCGGTCCCTCTAACTCTTGTCCCTCTCCTAGCTGCGCTGCTGCGGCTGGTTCTCTCCTCAGGACTGGTACCGCGTCCCCAGCCTGAGCAGCAACGAGTCGGCGGCGCGCCACGTGCCCTGCTCCTGCTATAACTCATCGGGCGCCAACGACTCCGCAACCTTGGAAAAGATCTCCTCCTCCCAGTTCAGCCGGCCTGGACCACTAGCGCGGCAGCGACACAGTACAGACCGTTGCGTGGTCCCTGCCAACGCCTATATCTACAGTGAGGTGGGGAGGATTCGAAGCAGGAACTGCTGGAACGAGGAGAGGCCTGTGGGAGGTGTAGGGCTGCAGGGAGGGTCCCCAGGAGGCCGGGCCGCAGGACTAGGAGAGGTCGCAAGTAGGGTGGGGCTACAAGAAAGAACAGGACAACGGGAGGAGCGGGGTCTGTAGGAGGGGCGGGGCCTAAAGCCAAGGGCTGGCTGAAAGGGCAGGACCTGGAACGCTGATGTCTAGGGATGGGGAGACTTGGACCAGCCAAAGTGGAGACTAGAGAACTCTGGTAACTAGGGAAGCGGGGCGGGGCCTGAAAGAGGGGTGAAGGCTGGACTGAGAACGGTGGGCCCAGGCTTGAGGGCCAATCCCAGAAAGAACTCTACCTTTAACCTTTCCCTACGTCCCCAGGGATGCGAGCGGAGCCTCGAAAAGTGGTTGCACAACAACCTTATCTCCATAGTGGGCATCTGTCTGGGCGTCGGTCTACTCGAGGTGAGCTGGTCCTGCCTCCACTCGCGATTGGCCCTACAATCCCTAGCTGCCCCCAACCCCCGCAAATTGCGCATACCCCCGCTTCCTCTGGGAAAGGCGCATGCGTGATAGGGCGTCAGCCAATCCACGCCTTCGGGCCGCTCGGGCTAGAACCAAGGAGACCTGGCCTCTGTGAGCCCTGATTGGCTGCACGCAGGGAGCAGGCGTTTCCGCCCTCCCTCTCGAGGCTCCCATTGGACTCCTCGGAGTACCAGCCTCCTGCTATTCGCCGCAATATCCCTCTCCTTTCCCCGCAGGTGAGTGTGGCGGGGCTGAGCCTGCTGCCCCCGCGCGGCGCGCTCTGCCGGGATGCCCAGCCGCAGGTCCTGGGGGCTAACGGTTCGAGCCCCGAGCCCGGCCTGAGCGCTGATGGCGGCGGCGGGCGCTGTGGTGCGCTGAGCAGCAGCGGGCGTAGCGGCAGTATGTGGGGTGGCTGGGGCATGGCAGATGCCTGCCCCAACTGGGGGGACAAGGCCCCGCAGGGCAAATTGCCCATGTCCCTGGGGCCCTGGCCGCTTTGGGATCAAGACGAGGAACAGCCTGAGACCGGGACCGGGAGCGCGGGCGCAGAGGTGGAGGCCGAGGTGGAATTGGAGGCCGAGGTGGAAGGGGAGACAGATGAGCCTCCGGAATAAAGGACCCTGGGCTTGCTCTGGATCTCACTCCTTCCCAGACTCCAGACCTGCGCTAGACGCAGCTGGGTTCCCCTTGACCCCTCACTGTTCCCCTTCCAGCTCCTGCTGTGCTCCCACCCTCCCCGGTCCGCCCGCATCTTCTATAGCACCCCCCCCCCATGACCTCCTGCCCTTTTACCCTTAACTCCACCACATTCTCCACCTCTCTCATCTTCCCCCCAACTCCTGTCCTTGACCCCATCTTTCACAGCCACGCCAAGTTCTCCCTCTAGCCCAGCCCATTTTCTGCCTGCTCCCTTCTCTGCCCCTCTCAGGACTCCTCCCCGCCCAATTCTCGGTGCCTTACTTTTTCCCCCCGACTTTTCTCCCTCGGGACCGCCACCACCCCAACCCCTCTCACTGGCACCCCCTCGACCTCTCTGACTGCATCTCCTTTCTCTATAGCTCAGCTTCATGACGCTCTCCATATTCCTGTGCAGAAACCTGGACCACGTCTACGACCGGCTCGCTCGGTACCGCTAGGCCCCGCCCTTCCCCCTTCCAGTGCCCTGGGCATTTCCCTGTCCCTGTAAATATTTGTTTAATCCCCAGTTAGCCCCAGCGAGTGAGCTCTCCGCCTCCTCATTCCCCCTGGGGACGCAGGTGTCTGCCTGCCCCGCTGCTGTTACCTCTCCCGGGGGACCTGGGGCTTCCGCCACCAGCTTCCTGCCCCCAAAGATACCTCATTTCCTTAGCTCATCTGTCGGCCTACCACTTCCCACAAGATGATTTTTCACCCAAACCCCAAATAAATCCCCTGTGTTTTGGTAAAATAGCTTTATCCTCTGTCAAAACACAAACCAACACACTTGGGGGGGGCAGCAACACAGTCTAGCCCACGGCTCGTTTAGAAGAGGGGATGAGATTTAAAAGCCTCACCCCACTGCTTGCCCAGCTGAGAAAAAGTCACGACCCTAACACCCACTTATAAATATCTCTTGTTATATTAAAAAAAAACGTATTTCCAGGGCCCACCTGGCTCTGCTCCTGCACAGAAAGGGTTAACCTTCAATATTCGATATTAGGGTCACAGGATAGGGTGGTAAGGAGAGGCAGATTGGGGAAAGGGGGGCTGAGAAACAGAGAGAGGGACAAGCCAATGTGTACAAGGACCCTCCGAAACATCCGGAAGAGAGGGAGGAGGGTGCCTCCTGGTAGAGACTGAGAACCCAGTGCTGTAGTGAGAGTTGTCTCATTCCGGTCCCCAGTCCCTGATGTTCTGGAGTGATCTGTCCTTTCAGATGCCCCTGTGCGGTCCCAATATCAGGATGCGTCCTTTCCTCTCAGTCCCAGCTGGGTCAACTCGCCACCCAGCTTTGAAGGTCCCCTCTAGCAGGGAGCAGCCCCCTCCCCGAATAAGCATGAGGAAAGCTGGAGGTCCTTCCTGGGAGGAGGGTATTCCAGGAGTGGGCCACTCTGGGGGCGCCCCTTCAGTCCCTGACCAGGCGGTAGATGTGGTGCTGGGCGCCCCGCTCGCTGGTGGAGACCTCAAAGACGTAGGCAGTGCAGAGCAGCAGCTCCTGGGTGTCCCTGTTGGTCACCACCTGCCAAGGAGGCCAGGAGAAGGGGGTGATGCTTGGAGGGCAGAGCAGGGCATCACGGGTTACCCAGGAAAGGGGTCCCCACCATGTCGCATTCCCCAAGTAGAGGGGATGCCCAACATGTCAGGTTCCCCATTTGAGGGTCGGCAAGGAGGGACCTCAAATCAGATGATGTATCATGTTACAGGGTCAAAGGAGTCCCCACCACATCACATCCCCCAGAGTTAAAGAGGATCCCACCATATCACGTTCCCTGGGCTAAAGTTAGGTTCCGCATGAAGGGGGTCCCCTAACCTGAGGACCCACTGTGGGGTGTCCTCCAGGTCAGTTTCCCCAGCGAAGAGGGGATCTCCTTAGATGAGAGAGCTGTGGAGTCCCCCCCACATCAGTTCCCTGCGTGAAGGGGTCCCCTGGGTAAAGAGGTAAAGGTCTATTGTGGGGTCTCCACTGTGTCAGTTCCCCAGGCAAAAGGGTCCCCGGGCTGAGGGTCTGTTGTGGGCACTCCCCTCCGCATCGGGGCCCCTGCCCCGGCCCAGCCCCAGGGCATCACCTGGAGGATGGTGAAGTTCTCCAGGACGCTGTTCATCATATAGCGCTCGGGCAGCTGCCGCAGCTTGTGCAAGAAATTCACCAGGTACTCGCACATGGGCGAGCGCAGCAGGCGGTACACGAACCTCCCGTCCTCCAGCTGGGCACGCTCCGTCTGAGCCGGGGGACGGGAAATGGGGAGGACAGTGACTGAGAGACACAGGGGTCGCCCAGGGACCGAGCCACGCTCCATGCCTCCACTCCCCACTGCCATCTTCCCTCCATTGCCCCATCCGCAGTGACCAGAGATGGGACCCTGCACCCTCAAGTATCCAACTCAAGATCACTGTGCCAGGCCGGCCTGGTGGCATAGTGGTTAGGTTCGTACACACTGCTTTGGCGGCCCGGGCTTTGCAGGTTCAGATCCCAGGCGTGGACCTATGCACCACTTATCAAGCCATGCTGTGGCAGGCATCCCACATATAAAATAGAGGAAGATGGGCACAGATGTTAGCTCAGGGCCAATCTTCCTCAGCAAAAAGAGGAGGATTCATGGTGGATGTTAGCTCAGGGCTAATCTTCCTCAAAAAAAAAAAAAAAGATCACTAAGCCTATAAACCAGGGACCTCTCCCGCCCCTCAAAGCCATGCTCTGAACCTTCAGTGACCTCCAAATTCCTCTGACCTCCAGCCCCTCAGATACCCAAACCCTCCAAAGACCCCTCCGTGAGATCTCCAAACTCGGTATGACCTCCGAACTCAAGTTCCCTCGAGTCCTCAGCAACCGCTAAATGTGACCCGGAACCTCCTTGCCCCGTGGACTCCTCCAGATCCATAAGGATCTTTTGAATCTTGGCGACTCTAAATCTCTGTCCCACACATTACTTTCGTATCCCCAAAGTGACCCCTACATGTGGCTTTGGAACTCCATATTAGCTCTAAGGCCATGCATTAAACCCCCAAAGAGGCTAGGATGCCCGCCACCCCAGCATGCAGACCCCCAAATGCCTGAGCTGTCGCGGCTGCTGGTCCATTTCGTCTGCACCCTCAAAATGGCAGGTGGCTGGGCGCTCAGCCGCCCAGAGCTCCACCCGTCCAGCCTCACCTCCACCTTCTCCACCACCTGCTTGCCAAAGGAGCAGACCTTGGAGGAACAGGTGAGGGTCATGTGCTCCAGGCTCTCGTACTGGCTGCTCACTCCATAGAAGCCGCCGCTGCTGCCGCCGGCCCCCACCTCCTCACCACTCGGGCCCCAGTTCAGGTCCGCCTGGGGGATGGGGAGGCACAGGTGAGCTGGAGGAGACATTCCTTAGAAACAGTGGGAACTCTGCCCCACGGCCCGGTGCCTCCCATCACGCGGCAGGTGCCCCCGTCTCCTCCTCGGCGCTCCAAGTCCCCACCTCTCCACGGGCTGGTTTCTGGAGAAGACCCACCCTTCCATCAGCGTTGGAGAAGTCTACGTCCCCAAAATGGTCCTGGCCCTCCCTCCCCAGCAACCCCCACTCCTCCCACCAAAGGAGCCCTGAAACTCAACTTTTTTATCCAGAAGCCCCCAACTCAAGAGCTCAGCCCCTTCCAAGGGGCTGGTTACCAAGGAAGCAGTTACTCCCTAGCAACCGAGGCTCTCCCTGGGAGCCCCTCACAACCCCCGCTGCTAAGGCAAGTGGCTATTCCTGGCAGCCTGGCGGGGTCTAGGGAAGCCTGACCCTTCCCCAGAACACTCTCCTGGGTCCTTTCAGCTGATTCTCAGAAGTCAGACCCCTCTAGGACCTCAGTGGCCAGGTGGGCAGACAGTCCATTAGGCCAAGTGGAGCCTAACGAAGCCTAGGACCTCATCACACCTGTGGTCCGAGCCCATTGGTCATCTTCTTGGGAGGCACGTCTCTTCCTCTTTCTAACGTTAGCTGCTAACTTGACCAGGGCACTCTCTGGGGTGGTTTAGTCCTCTCCTCAGAGGCCTGACGCCATCCATCACCCTGGCAACAGGGCCTCGGGAAGCCAGACAAATCCAAAGACCTTCCCAGCCACTCCCCTGCATCCGTTCAGACGCTGGGCTTCCTAAGGGTCTAGAACTCTCCAGACCTGCAACCTGGTGAGGCTGTCTTAAACCCTCACGATGCCTAAGACCTCAGCAGCGCATCCCAGAGCCATCTCGGGCCCCCACCTCACACGCTAGAACACTTTAGAAGCGTGGTAGCTATGGACCCAGCAAAAAGCCTTCAGCAGACTTCCTTCTCGGGAAGTCTCGCCATGGCCCTGGTTACCACAAGAGTTACACCCCCTAAACCTTCACTGCATTTACTGAACCCCCATAGCATCACTCATTGTGATGGACATGAAACCAAACAGGCCTAAGAGAGACCCAGGGTCAACCCTCTTATTCACAATTATATACGTAGCACCTGGCCTTGGGCCTGTATGTAGTAAGTACTCAATAAATGGTTGTTAGATAAATACAAGATTTCACAAAACCACTCCTTGGGTCCTTCCACCGCTTCCTCCAGGCCAGACATTCTCCAGCAAGAGTCTGATGGAACCAGCGAAGCCTTGTCCTCTGGGGACCAAACTCTTCAGGACTCCATTGCTAAGGGGAGGGAGCCATTCCTTAGCAACAAGGCTTGGTGTGGTCAGGTGGGGCACAGGGAAGTCTGAAACATTGCAGGCCCATCCCCAGGGCCATATCAGTCACATCTCTGGGTGTGGCAAAGTCTAGTGGGATCCGGGAAGTCAGAGTCCTAGGCCTAGGCCTGCAATGGTCCCAGCCATCCTGCCCTGGGGGCAAAACTCCTCGTTGTTCACAGGTGCTCCTCCTTGTTGCAAAGGGGGCTGACACTGTGCCACGAGGATGGGAAGGTCCAGGCTGACCTGGCTGGTCCCGAGACTGTCTCCCTTAGAGTCCAAGGCCTTTGCTGGGAGGCCACATGATTTAGGAGCCCTTTTTGTTTTTGGTGGCGGAACTCACCCAGAACTTGACCAGGAAGAAGGCGTGGGGGGGCCCGCGATCATACAGCTCCCGCAGACCGCCCTTTTTCTCCGGGAATTTGTCATAGATCTGCCGGACATCCACACTCTCGAGGGGGGGCGCTCCAGGGCTGGGGCAGTGCTGGCTGATGTGTACGAACAGGTGCCTCTGGTACTGAGGAAGGTCAGCCGTGGATGAGGGGCGGGAGATGGGCTGGACCCCCGGCCCTCGACGCCCAAGCTCATCCCACACCCCTGTCACCACTCGCACAGCTCCTCTGCGAGCTGTTCCACACTGTCCACCCAGACACTGGGCCCGACTTCCAGGCACTGCCCCTACTCCCTTCTGCCCTTTCACTCCCACAGTACCTCAGTCCCCCAGCCCTGTCTCTACTGACCAGATCTCTGCCCTGTCCCCTACTCTCCATCCCCACAGCTCTGTCTTCTCCCACTGTCACCCCAGCCTCCTCGCTGGCCTCCCAGCCTCCAGTCTTTCCTCTCTAGTTCATTGCTCAAATAACTCCACAGCTGACCCTGGCCCTCCTCTGCTCATAATCCTCCCATGGCTCCCCAGTGCCCTCAGGACAAAGCCCACACCCCCTCAACCTGGCCCTGAATTGAATACATGAATGTTCGATCAATGAATGTTCCATCAGTGGGTAGATAGATGGATGGATGAGAATCCACACAGTCCACATCGAGACTTCCTATCGATTCGCATTCTTATCACTTCTTATCCGTAACCTGAAAATCTTCCCCATCTTCTCTTAATACAAATCTTCCCTCCATCTTTCCAGACCCAAGTCCATCCAACTCTGCCTCTTCCTAGAAGCCTCCCTTAGATCAAAATCAGATAGGATCTCTCTACCCTACCTTTTCCATGGGTCCCCATCACCCTCAGGAGAAAGTCTGGGTCCCTCACCTTGGCAATGTTCCTCCAGAACAGGCACCTCCCCGCCTATCTGCAGCCTCACCAGCTCCCACCACATTCAATTATTTGTTTCTCTGAAAACTTGATGCTGTTTCCATCTCTATACCTGAAACATGCAGTTCTACACATGACAAACTCCTACATAACCCTCAAAGCCCAACTCAAATGTTGTCATCTCAGGGAAGCCTTCACTGACTCCCCAGGCAGAATTACTCCTCTGGACACCCACAAAAACTTGAGCTTCCCCTATCTCAGAGCATACTCATTATTCAACAAACATCTATCAAGAGACCTACTGTATGCAAGCACTACTCTGGGTCCCAGGGCTACAAGGCAAAGTCCCTGACTTTATGGAGCTCACAGTCCACGGGCAGAGACAGAAAATTTCAAAAATCATCCCATGGGTAATACGAATTTCAGAGAGCGATGTATCCTATGGGAAAAAAATCCCAATAAAGCATGGTAAGGGGTCAAGAGTGATAGCAGCTGGTATCTTTTGTAAGGTGGTTTGGGAAAGCCAATCTGAGAAGATAAAATCAAGCAAAGGTCTGAATGAATGGAGAGAGAGAGTGGGGACATCTGGGGAAAGCACATTCCAGGTGGTAGGAACAGCAGATGCAAAGGCCCTGAGGCAGGAGTGGGCCTGGCATGTTTGAGAAAAGGCATGGAGGCCAGTGTGGTCAGAGCAGAGTAAGCCAGGGTGAGAGGGCAGGAGGTAAGGGCAGAACAGGACCAGAGGTCAGATGGTGCAGAGCCATGTGGGCAACTGAAAGGACTTCAGCTTTCGCTCCAAGTGAGACGGGAGGGCTTTAAGCTGATCTTACTTGGGTTTTACCAGGACCACTATATGCAGCAACTGGTGTTTATGTGGCTGTGGCAGAGATTGCCATGTGTTCACCAACCCCAGTTCCCTTTCACACAGCTAAACTACATTTCCCAGGCTCCTTTGCAGTTAGGTATGACCACGTGACTAAGTTCTGGCCAATGAGATGTGAGCAGATCTGATGGTTGCCACTTCCAAGCCAGACCCATAAAACCTGCTGCACAATTATTGACTCTCTCCCTTCCACCATCTGCCAGCCAGATGCAGAGAATCAATCCAGCAGTAGATTCTGATGCCCTAGAAAATGGCAGAGCCACCAAATGCAAGATGCCCAATTTTCCCAAATCACTATGTGGAAGGCTCCTGCTGGACACCCACATTGAAATGTTACATGAGTGAGAAACTTCTGTGATGTGCAGTCCCTGAGTTTTGGGGGTTATTTCTAACAGTCAGCCCACCCTGACTATTATGGCATCTGTCTCCACCCATCCTAGGCCAGGGAAAGCTCAAACCTAGAAATAAGATGTGTTTTTCCAGGTTCCCAGTATCCACCACAAAGCCTGACGCACAGTAGGCACTCAAAAAATGTTTGATGAATGAATGAACGATGCCCTGGGGAGTTTCTCTGACCTTCCCAACCTGTAACCCCATGATCTTCCAGTTCCTTTATGCTGGTAGTTTTCAAAGTCTGGTCCCTGGACCAGCAGCATCAACATCACCTAGGAGTTTGTTGGAAATCCAAATTCTCACCAGACCTACTGAATCAGAAATTCTGAGAGTGGGGCCCAGGAATCTGTGTTTTAACGAGCCCGCCATGTTATTCTGATTCATGCTAAAGTTTGAGAATCACTGCTTTATGCTTTCCCTTCCTATAACCCTCTCTATCCCACAACACCCACAGTGACTATCTTGAAATTGCACTCACAGAGTCTACTGCATCTGGCGGTTCCACAAAGGCTGAGAACTCCACCAGCTGCAACCGGGCAGTGCCCAGGGCCCGAGCCTGCCAGGCTGGGGGTGACGGGGCAGGTGGGGGCAGGGCAGGAGGTGAGAGGGCTTGGGGGGGCTCGTACCCTAGAGAGAAAGAAAAACAAACAATAAAAATTCTTAGTTCACACGCTCCGCTGTGGCGGCCCAGGGTTCGGATCCTGGGCGCGGACATGGCACCGCTCGTCAGGCCACATTGAGGCGGCGTCCCACATCCCACAACTAGAAGGACATGCAACTAAGATATACAACTGTGTACAGGGGGGCTTTGGGGAGATAAAGCAGAAAAAAAAAAAAGATTGGCAACAATTGTTAGCCCAGGTGCCAATCCTTAAAAAAAATAAAAAATAATAAAAAAAAATAAAAATTCCTAACATTTATAGCATATATCAAGCATTGTTCTCTCTTGCCTGCCTCTGCTTAGAAGCTGAACAAGCTAAATACTCACTTTCCCAGCCTCCCTTGCAGCTAGAGGTGGCCATGGGACACAGTCCTGGCCAATGAGATGTTAGGGAAAATCTGCTGGGGGGGCTTTTGGGAAGGAGTTTCTTCCTGAATGAAAAAGACAGAACTTTGGGAAGAGAAAGCTTTTGGCCCTGACCAAGTCTGCTTGGGACATGATGCCTGGAGTCAAAACAGCCATCCTGAAACAATAAAACAGAGGACAAGGGACCTATAGAGACACCGGTCCTGATATTGCTGAGCTGCTGAGCCAGCACAGAAGCAGCCTACCTCCAGACTTTTTGTTATGCGGAATCACTAAAGCCTTTACTATTTAAGGCACTATTAACTTGGGCTTTCTGTTACTTGAGGCCAAAAGCATTCCTAACTGATGAATCTGTGGAACCTGAGAGTTCTCTTTCACTGATACGACTTCCTAGGACTACATCAGCATGAACTTCTGGAAGCCATCTCTGCTGCCAGGTGGGCAAAGCCTTCCAGGGAATGAAGCCAGCACAGAGGAAAGCAGAACCAAGCAAGTCTTGATGCTACCATTTGAGCCCCTGGATCCAACCATGCCTGGAGCCATAACTCCTGAGATATCAGTTACCCAAACTAATAAATTCCTTTTTTTTTTTTTTTTTTTGGTCATCTGGATTGATTTGGGTTAATGTCGCTTGCAGCTGAAAGAATCTTGACTAATATACCTCTCCAATGTGCTTTAGGCTAGCAAGTGGCAGAGCACAGACTCTGTGTGTTTGGCTACAGAGGCCAAGCACTTAACCACTACAAATTCTGCCACTCATCTTTCCATAACCCTGCACGCCCTGCCTCAGAGCTGGAGCTCAGTAAGAATGTGTCCCCTGATGAATGGCAAGTTGATGGAAAGGTGGTTGGGGTTGAAGAGAGAGGGGAGACAAGGGAGATGAAAGCAGGGTCTTACCTGGGAGGTCAGTAGATGGGGGAGTCAGTGACAAGGAGAACGGTGTCTGTGAGAATGGCTTCACACTGAGCGAAAAAGAAGCTGGGGGTCAGCAAGGTGGAAAGCTGCTAACTGTACTAGCTAATGTTTACTGAGGGGCCGTGACATGCCAGACCCCAGGCTAGCATATTATGTGCACAAATTCATCGAGGTCTCACAGCTTAGGAGGTAGGTGCGATTACTGCTCTTCTCATTTTGCACAGGAGGAAACTGAAGCACACAGGGGTCAACTGACCCCTGCCCCCCAAATTCACACAGCTGGGCACAGTGGAGCCTGAGCTTGAACCCACGTGAGTCCCAACCACGAAGCCTGGGGTCTCGATGAGGACATCTTGGTACCTCTCACAAAACAGCAGAAAGAGAAGAGAAAGGGGGTTTCAAGAAGTGGGGGGAGAGCACAAAGAATAGGAAATTCAGCGAAAGAGGAGGCTGAAGGGGCGGGAGGGTGGGGAGAAAAGGAGCGGTGGTCTGGAGATGAGACATCAGGCCAGTTTCGGGATGGAGTGGCAGCACAAGAGAATCGAAGGCAGTGCTGTCCAAGAGAACTTTCTGCCATGATGGGAATGTTCTATATCTGTGCCACCGGCCACACGTGGCTACTGAGTACATGAGCTGTGACTCCTGAGCACGAATGTGGCTGGGGCCCTCCTTCCAGCTCAGCCCCTTCCCCTGCAAACCTGAGGCTCCTTTGGCCACCAGGCACTTGTTCTGACCAGTCCCTGTGTCCCCACCCAGCAGCACCTCCTCAGCGAACTTTCTTGTCTCACAGCCCGTCACTTCACTGTTTCTCTGGCAACTCCCTCAACACTCCTGCCTCACTGTCCTGCGGCCACAGTACCCTTCCCACGCCCAGCCAGGATCCATCAGCTCCTCTCTAGGCTGAAAACTACACTTCCCATGAGCCTCTGAGGCCCAGATAATCTAGATGGGATCCCACTATCCCCAAGGGTGATCTCCAGGCCCCTCACTTCATCAAGTTCCATCCTGAGCTCATTTCTTCCCCAAACCCGCTCCTCCCCTAGGTTGTACACTGTCCCACCAACCCCAGTTATGAGCCAGCCCCTCACTGTCCCTGCCTCCTCCCTCCTTCTCAGCTCGCATCATGCTCCAACGCCATCCCGCCTTCTCCTGACTCTCTGCCCTGTCCTCTCCTCACTGTCCCACTCAGACCTAGTCCTCTTCTGCGGACCACCACCCCAGCCTCCTCCTTGGGATTCAGATGCAGATAGCCTAGCTCCAGAATCTATGTTCCCAGGGCAGCTGAGAGCCAGAAGATGGGGTGAGTAAAGTCTGTTAGGGGGAGTGGAGGTGGGTGCCACTGAGCCAGAAGAGAAAGTACTTACTCTGGAACATTCCAGGGGGGCCCAGAGCCCCCCGGCCAAAACTGGAAAATCTCAGAGGCCTGGAGAAGAGAAAAAGAAGGGGAGTCAGTCAATTGTTCTTCTGTTGAAACTGCGGCCCCACCCCTCCAGCCCTGAGCTTCACAACCCCCAATCCAGACCACCTGAGGACCCGCGGGACCCAGTTTGGCCTGCAAGGAAGGTGCTGAGATGAGCTGGGCCGAGGACATGGTGGCCATTGTCTGGAAGGCCTTGTCCTTGGAAACCTGGTCCTGGAGGAAAAGTTAGAGGTCCATGTTAATGGGGAGTCCCAGTCGACACAGCAAGGGTGGGTCAATGACGGGGTCGGGCCAGCAATGGGGAGATGCCGAGTTGGGGAGTCAAGGCGAAGGGTTGGGGGAGGGCCCAAATCCCTCTCGCTACAGCCCCGGCCCCTCCTCAGGAATGTCAGGGGTAAGGGACAGGGTGGGAGGATGGGCAGGGGACTTACCACATTCAAGGCCTGCCCGTGGGGGTGGGGGAGGGTGCCAAAGGAGGAAAGAAAACACGACTTAGGAAGTGAGGCCCGGACTCTGCCAACTTCCTGCCCTCCCAACTCCTACAGCCCCATCACCCTGAGCAGAGGAACGAGAGGAAGGGGCAGCAAGGATGAACATGGAGCCGGAAGTAGAGGGGCCACCCTAGAGGGGAAAGGGAGTTCCCAAGCCCAGAATAAAAGATAGTAATGAGAGTTTCTAGGTCAAGAAAGAGCCGGAAGTGAAGGTTTCCGGATGCGCAGGCAACAGGAAATGAGAACTTCAGACCCAGAGGGAACAGGCGGCAAACATTTCCTAGCCTGGACGGGACAGAGGGGGAAGAGCAAGGTGGAGAAAAGACGGGAAGTGAAGGTTTTTAGGCAGAGAGAAAGGAAGGGGAGACTTCTAGGCACATCCCCAAACCAAAGGAAGACGCAGATCCCACACCCAGAAGGGTAGAAGGTGAGGGTCTCCGGCCAAGAGGGAACAGGAAATCCAGAAGATGAAGAAGAGAAAAGAGATGTAAAAATCTCCAGAAGGAAATGAAGGCTTCTGGGCACGGAAGGAATAGGCAGGCCACACAGGGGCTGGGAAATGAGAAGATGAACCAGAAGGAGAGGAAGAGGAGATCCACACAGCACAAGAGGGAAAAGGCAAGGAGGACACCAGGAGAGCAGGAGGAGGCGCGGGAGGAGGAGAGGGAGGAGAGACAGCAGGAGCCAGGAAAGGCCCCACGCCCCACCCTGCTGGCCTGTGCTAAGCTCAACCTCCATCCCCCTCTCTCTGCGGATCTCTCCCTACCCAGAGTCTCCAGCCACTGCTGAGCCACCAGCCCCACCTTGGGTCTCTGCTCCCCGGCTCTGTCTACTTCTCTGTGTGACTCTTGCCCCATCTCTGGGTCTCTGTCCCCCACCCCGAGTCTCTCTGTCCCATTTCTCTAAGTCCCTGTCCCCCTCTCTCTGGGTCCCTGTCCCCCTCTCTCTGGGTCTCCATCCCCCCCCCCCGGGGCTCTGTCCCCCTCTCTCTGGGTCCCTGTCCCCCTCTCTCAAGGTCCCTGTCCCCCTCTCTCAGGATCTCTGGCTTGGGCCCTACCTTGAGCTTGGACTGGATTTCCCTCGATTTCCTTCGGGCCAAAACCTGGATGTGACTAGAGACCTGGAGGGAGTGATGGAGAAGCAGATTCAGGCCACAGCCACTCGCCCCTTGAGTCCCCTCCCCCTTCCCTCCCTTTAGGTGCCCCAGAGCTGCTGGAACGTGAAAGACGACAACATACAGAACATGCCAGCCGTCTCAGGAGCACGCTGACACGGACGTGTCCACAAAGGCTATCCCTTTCTCACCAACACTGCTGATCTTCCCCAGACCCAGCACATCCGGGTCCCCTTTCCCCTCCGCATCCTTCTCTCTTTGTCTCTTTTAGTCTCTCAAGCTTACTCTCTGGTTCTAACACAACTGCTAAAAGAAATGTACCAAAATTGGCACAGTCTGCGCATGCTAGCAGACCAGCCAGAAGACAGACAGAAGCACAAAGCCAGATCCTCCTTGAACCTGAACTTGCCCATACTGGGCTGGCCCTGAGAAGGCAAGCCTGCCCCACACAGAAGCCCACAAGCCAGTCCTGAGACCTGTTTGCGAGTTCGGGTCTTCCCCGTTCTCAGCTTGATGTAGCGGGCAATCAGTTCATTCCGACCTGAAGAGTCAAAGATGGAACAGAGTTAGACCTTTGGTAGAACTTCCCAACAGAGGACACTCGGGAAGAAGAGAGAAGCAACAGTTCCCAGAAGTCTGCAGCAAGCTGGGCTGCAGGTGTCCTCAGCTATATGGGAGAGGAGTTACGACCACAGGTTTTGGAGCCAGCCTGCCTGAGTTCAAATCCCAGCTCTGCCACATGCTAGCTCTGTCACCCTAGGCAAATCACGTAACCTATCTGTGCCTCAGTTTCCTTCTCTGTGCAAATGGCGATGCTAGCTCCTACCTGAGGCATTGTGAGGATACCATGTGCTTTCACGTCAACAATGTTTAGGGCTCCATAAATGTTGGTCATTACTTTTATTATTCATCCGTGGGGGCTAGGACAAAAGAGAGGGGTGGACTCACCATACATCTTGCCTTCATCGGACAGGATGATTTTCCGCCGGCCGCAGGGCGGGTAGATGGCCAAGGCCTCCTGGAAGCTCTGCTCGATGTCCGGACTCCAGACACCCTCTGCATCTGGGCCCCCGTCTCCCCCAGCCCCCTCGCTGCCACCGGTGCCCTCCTCACTTCCTTCCTCACTTCCTGTCCAGCCGCTGCCATCATCTAGGGGGGCCCCAGCCCGGGGTTCCCCCATCTGGGCCTGGAGGAACACAGAGGTCAGCAAGTTTCCCTGGACCCATCCAGAAGGACTTCAGGGCTGGGAGTCCAGACTGCGGGGTCTGAGGGAGGAGGGGCTGGGGCCCGGACCCCTGGGTCTGAGGGAGGAGGGGACTGGATTTCTGGGGAAAGTTAGGGTGAGAATGTTCCCCTCTGTGTTTGCAGGGGAGCCTGGCTTGTCATGAAATCTTGATGACCCCAGGTAATGCCCAGGGCCCATGAGGGCCAAACCTTTGGGAATGGATTACTGATTTAAAGAAGACAGGAGTCAGGGCCTAGTCGCTGGAAGGGGGTTGTGGGTGAGATCTTCTCAGTCCCACCCCAAGAACAGGTGGTAGGATGTGAGCAGCAGCTGCTGGAAAAAAAGGAGGAGGGGCACAGGCCCTCATAAAGCTGAAGGGGATCCAGAGAGAGGAAGATAAGACTCAGAGAGAAGACTGAGTCCCAGAGAGAGGGGGAGAGAGACTCAGTGTGGGGAGTCAGAGAGACAGAGAGAGGGGGACAGAGACTCAGTGTGGTGGGTCAGAGACCCAGAGAGAAGGGGACAGAAAGCCAGAGAGAGGCGGACAGAGACTCAGGGCAGAAACTCAAGCCGAGACCAGGAAAGACCCGGAGAACCACAGGCTGGGGGGCAGGGCCGCCCTGCCATCAGGAGAGCCAGAACAAAGGGCCCAGGCGTCCCCTCCCCCAGTTTCCCACAACCCCCATCAGGGGAGGGGCTGGCCGGCGAGGGCGCCTCCCCTCCGGCCCCAGACCCCGCCCCTTCCCTCCCCTCCCCCTGCGCCGTGGGCTCGGATCCAACTCAAGTTCCCAGTGACTTTCCGGAGGCCGGGCACAGGGGAAAACTTTTTCCAATACAGTTAGATCCCGCCTCCCTGGCGGCTCCACGTCTTCCACAGCTTTCCCAGGACCCCGGAGTCCAGGCCCCATCCCCCTCCTCCCTCGGACCCCGGACTCCCGGCGGAGACAAAGACCCCAGGCCGAGCCCAGTGGCGCCGCGGCGTTCAGGACCCCCATAGGCCAAAATCCCAGCCCAGCTCTCCCCCATGTGGCCAGACAAAGGCACAGAGGAGCCGGGTAAGAAAAGTCTCCCCTAATTTCCCGCCCCAGGCCCCAAACTTCCGAAGAGACAAGACTGAAGATCCAGGAAGACCCATAGCCCTCCGTCTGCCACCCCGGCGGCCTCCTTTCTCCGTGAGGAGGACCAGGAGCCCACAAATGGCACCCGCAAACCAATTCGGTCAGAAGCACGCACGGGATCGTTTCTCACTTGAAACCTAGACCGCCGCAGAAACTCACCCCCCAATACACACACCCGCCAAAGTCTCCAGCCCCTCACCCACTCCCCTGCGCACACTCCCAAACTCAGACCCATCAACAGACACCCCGACTCCAGCGCAAGTTCCAACTCCACACTTAGACTAGTCTGAGCGCAAACTCGGGCCCGCCGGCCAAAAGAGGACTGCCAGCCATTCGGAGTCGGTCCCACAAACACCTCCACTCGGAACGCGTAACTTCCCACCCCAACTCACACACCCCAAAGCAGGATCCCCGACTCCCGCCGGCGCCTTCCTACCTCCCGGCCTGGGGCTGGGGAGCCGCGGGCGGGCGGGGCGCTGCGAGGGAGAAAGTTGCCCGGGAGCTTTGTTTGGGAAAAGTGGGAGGGACCGGAGGGGGGGCGGGCCCGGGCGCCGGACAGAGGGAAGGGGGATCCGATGGTGACAGTTTAAGCGAAGAGTTTTGCTTTCGCAAAGGAGAGGTGAAGTCTAGCTGGGTCCGGATTCGGATGCTTGGGTCCCTGGAGGAGGAGAGAGGATTGCGGGTCTGGACTCCCGGGTCTGAGGGAGGAGGTTGATGAGGGCCAGGAAACCTGGATCTGAAAAAGGAGACGAGGGGTCTGGACTCCTGGGTCTGAGGGAGAAGGGGGCTGAGGGCCAAGATTCCTGAGTCTAGTCTGGAGGAGGAGTCTGGGGGCCTGGACTCCTGGGTCTGAGGGAGGAAGAGCTGGGACCCGAGACTCCTGGGCCTGGGGGTCTGGACCCCTGGCTCCCCTCTAGTGTGTTGGGGATGTGGAAGTGATACGAACACAAAAGAGTCTTTCCTGTTCGGCCCCAAGTATGTTTTTGAGGTTTGAGATATGAGGATGCGTTTTGATTGATTTCTTTGACAACACAGTTTCTTTGTGACCTCGCCAGAGTTAAGGGTCGCAGGCAAGACGACCAGGACTTTATTGGAGGTCCATGGAGGTGCACACTCCCACACCCGCACGCACTAGTGGACTAGAGGTGGCGCTGTCCCAGGACCAGGAGAGAGCGTCGGTGCCTGAGGGGAGGGGGGCCTAGGGCAGGCCCTCTTGGGTCTCTTAAAGATGAGAGGGTGGGTCTTCAAACTCACGGGACTAGAGGGGGCTGGGGGCTGGAGTCTGGAGTCCTAAGGGAGAAGGACTGGATTTAGGGTTTCCGGAGAGTGTGGGGCTTTTTAGTGGAACCGAAGAGGGCTCGGGGTTCAGGGTCCCCACGTTGCCGTCTGTTGAGCGCATTAATCCTTTCTTCCTGGAGAAGACTAGAAGAGACACGGAGAAACTCTCGGAGATAAATACCAAACTAAGGAACGGGTGAACCAGAAGGACTGTTCGGACTCGAGCGTTTCACGAGCAGAGGGAGCCAGGAATGGAACTGAGGGCGCTGGGAGCAAGATCAGGGGCACAGGGGCGTGGCCTAGGCCCGGGGGCGTGGTCCTAAGTCAAGGGGCGTGGCCACCTGCGATTGGCGCGGGACTCCGGCGCGAGGGCCAAGATCAGAAAATACAGGCGAGGCTCGGTCTCCAGGGCCGAGGTCAACCGACAGGGGCGTGGTCTGACGATGGGGATGTGACCATGCAGTGACCGCGCGGCGCTGGTTTAAGGGGCGTGGCTAACGAAGGATAGAGGTGTGGCTCTGTCCTTAAGGGTGTGACCGTCCAATAGAGGGCTCGTGGGTGAGGTCAGCAGATGGGGGCGTGGTCAGATAATGGGGATGAGGCGAAGGCTCGCGGAGCCCACCCAACGCTCCAGGTGTCCGGCCTGGGCTCGAGACCAAAACTGGACTTAACAGTCCGTGGATGGCCGGAGTCTGAGAGTCCGGTGACCGGGCTGTGGTATAGCATACAGGCGGGGCCCAGAAGAAGGGGCAGGGCGTGGGAGAAGGTGAGGGATGAGATCTGGGTATGAATGTGAGCGAAGGAGAGCAGTGAGACCTGTGAATGAGGCAGAGCCCACAAGAGCGGGGCCTGACCCGACGTAGGGGATGGGAGTGGAAGGAAAGGGAGGGCGAAGATGGGCGTGGTGTGGGGGAGTTGCCTGGACAAGGGGCGGAGCCTGGGCCAGGGGTAGCAAAGGGGTAATTGTCTTGGGTGGGGGGGCTTGACCGCTGAGGGGGCGGGGCCTTGATAGGGGCTGGGACTCTGACCCTACGCGTGCCACAGCCTCCTGGCCCGCCCCGCAATGTGGCTTCCACTGGTCCTGCTGCTGCTGCTCCCCTCTGCCTCCGTGCCCCCCTCCACTGCAGCCCCGATCCGCGATGCTGACGTCCCGGAGAGCTCCTCGGGTCTTCTGGGCCTCCAGAGCCTACTGCAAGGCTTCACCAGGCTTTTTCTGAAAGTGAGCGATGGCAGGGTTTGGGGGAAAGAAGAGGTACAGAGAAGAGGGACGGGGGCAGATGGAGACTGAGGGATGAGGGGGTTCAGGGAAACAGTGGGAAACAGGTCGCGGCCAGAAAGGACAGACAGGAAGAGAGGGAGTCAAAGGGACAGAGGGATAGGAGGAACAGAGGGAGATGGACAGAGACAAGAGACTGGAGTGGGGAATCAGAACAGAGAGACAGTAGGACAGCCGAGGAACGGGAATGGGAAGGTAATGGGACAGAGAATAGACAGGACAGATGGGGGGTGACGTAGTCAGGCCCTAAGGGTCAGAGGATGGAGAGGGTGGGAGTTGGGAGGGATACAGCCAGGCCTCGAGGGCATCCTGGCAGGGCTGCAGATGTCCTGGAGAGTCCTGAGGTCCAGCAGCTCACAGGTCCCTCCTCCGGCCCCAGGATGACCTGCTGCGGGGCGTGGACAGCTTCTTCTCTGCCCCTATGGACTTCCGGGGCCTCCCCAGGAACTACCACCAAGAAGAGAAACAGGATCGCCGGCTGGGGAACAACACTGTCTCCAGCCACCTCCAGATCGACAAGGTGCCTATGCTGGGAAGTCCCTCCTGGAGTCTCCCCACCATCCTTCATGCTGCAGTATCTGTCGGGAAGAGGGCAGAGGAGAAAAGTAGCTTTGCTCTCACTCTCTCCTCCCGTCCTCACAGGTGACCGACAACAAGACAGGAGAAGTGCTGATCTCCGAGAAGGTGGTAGCGGCCATCAAGCCGGGAGAAGGGATCTTGGATGATGACCTGAAGGTTAAGACATGCCCCTCAAAATTGTCCAAGCCCCAATATTTTCTGTTGTTTAGGACGAGGGGAAGACGAGTTGACTCCCCGACTCCGTCTGTGTGGGACTTCCTCTTCTGGGCCTCAGTTTTGTCATCTGTCAAAAGGGACTTAACCAGCTGTCAGAAATGAGGTTTACAATCTCAGAGCACATCCCAACTCGCTTAGTAAACCCCAGAGGGTTTGTCAGCGCCAAAGTGTTTTGTAAACTCAAGGGTGCTCTTAATTCTAGGTGTTTGATAAGCTTCACCTTCCTAAACCTCAGAGTGCGTTTTTATGAAAGCAGTCTGCAAACCTCAGGCTACCTTTTAATCTCTCTCAAAGTACTTGCTAAATCTCTCCCTTGTAAACGTCCAAGTGTGATTTTTAATTTATCAGCCCCAAATGCTTGTGCAGCTCCCCTTCCTAAACCTCTGAGTGATTTTAACCACCAGGTGCATCTTTTTTGATCCTAAAAAGTTTTAAGAACCCCCAAGTGCTTGGCAAACCCATAGGGTTCTCCAACACACACACCCAGTTTTTTATTTTAAAAATTTCAAATTTACAGAAAAGTTGGGAAAAATAGTACAATAAGTAGATCTGTGTTCCCCTGTTTGTAGAGCAGGTTTTCTCCACTCAGCTCCTGATAGGTATAGAGAAATAGGGACTTTGTGTCTGTGCTCCGTGACTGGCACCTGGCTTGATTTCCTATGTTGCAAGATAAAGGCAAGTCATTACGCTTATCAGTCAGCTGAGTTGGTACTTGGCACCAGTGGCTCTTGGGGCTGGATCTTTTCTTATTAGGGGGCCATCCTGTGCATTGGAGGATGTGCATTGTTGACAGCCTCCCTGCCTTGACCCACTAGATGGAAGAAGCATGCCCACCTCTGCCAGTTGTGACAACCCAAAACCTGTCTCCAGACTTCAGTCGAGAACCACTGACCTAGATTCACCACTTAACATTTGACCACACTTACTTTATTTTGACTTTTTCATTTTTTGAACCACACGACAGTAAATTATAACATCGTGACGCCTCACCCCTAAATCCTTCAGCAGCTGTCCCCTGAGAATAACGCATTCTCCCGCGGCACCACAGTACCATTTTACACCTGAGAAATTTGACGTTGATAGCAAACGATTGCTGCCATACTCGTTTTTGAGGGGTGCCCTCCCAAAGTGGCACAGACTGGATGGCTTAAATAGCAGACACTTATTGTCTCAGAGTTCTGGAAGCTAGGGGTCCAACATCAAGGTGTCAACAGCTTTGTTCCTTCTGAGGCTGTGAGAGAGAATCTGTTCCAGGCCCCTCTCCTACCTTCTGGGGGTTTGCTGACAATCTTTGGCGTTCCTTGGCACGCAGACGCATCATCCCCATCTCCGCCTTCATCTTCACGTGACATTCTCCCGATGTGCATGTCTGTGTCCAAATTTCCCCTTTGCATAAGGACACCAGCCATATCAGATCAGGGCCCACCCTAATGACCTCATCTTAACTAATTAAATCTGTACTGACCCCATTTCCAAATGAGATCACATTCTGAGGTGCTGTGGTTAGGACTTCCACATATGAGTTTGCAGGGGGGACACAATTCAACCCATAACAATCTCCCACAGGGCATCTCAGACCTCAGCTTATTAAAATGCAGGCTCTGATTCAGTAGGTCTGAGGAGCGGTGGGGCCCGCTAATTTGCATGTCTAAGAAGCTCTCAGATGATGCTGATGCCGCTGGTCCACAGCCCACATTTCAAATGGCAAGGGCCAAATAAACATTCAGCCTATATTCAGATGTCCCCACTGGACCCAAAGCTGTCCATGGGAGCTGATTTGGTTTTTGATCCAGGATGCAATCAAGGATCACACATTGCAATTGTGGTCTTGAGCCTCTAGTAAAGCCAAGAGCTTTTAATCCCGAAGTGCTTTGTACATTTCAAACTGCTTTCGAAAACTCCAAACTCTGTATTCGATCCCAGCGTATTCCATAAACCTCAAGAGTATTTTTAATTCTAAAGCACTTATAAACCCAAGAGTTTTGTAAACCACAAAGTGAGATTTTAGCTCCCAAAGTGAAGTGTCCTGTAGGTGGCAAGGTGGGTTGAATATGCCAGTGGGGACTGAGCATCTTGAGGTTGTCATTTGGACCTCCAGAGGGTCTCCTTGTCCCTTCTCCCCAGGCACACAAGATAGAGGAGAAGGAGGCCATGGTGCCTGTGCCGAAGGCCCAGGACAGCTTCCACCAGGAACCCCATCCCCGAGTGGCCTTCTGGATCATGAAGCTGCCACGGCGGAGGTTCCACCAGGATGCCCAGGAGAGTGGCCGCTGGCTCAGCGAGAAGCGACACCGCCTGCAGGCCATCCGGGATGGGCTCCGTGAGGGGACTCGTGAGGACAGCCTGGAAGAGGGGACCCAGAGCTCCTACCACGCCAAGCTGCCCCCTCGCAAGACCCATTTCCTGTACATCCTCAGGCCCTCCCAGCAGCTATAGGGGTAGGAACCGGGGGACACTTGCATGTACCCCCACCAACAGACCCCACCCCAAGCACCATATGGAAATAAAGTTTTTTTCTTACATCTAGCAGCACTATCTCCTTTTGGGATCTGTCCCCAAGCCTCAGTCGACCAGGCCGTTGCAAGTCTCCCCAACCCTAACCTTGAGCATGACCTCTGCCTGCACCACCTCCTCTTGCCAAGGACTCCAGGCTCCGTTTCCTTATTCAGACGCTGTCCGTCTTCTGACTGAGCAACTCTGCCACCTCCAGCCCAATCCATCCACTCAGTTCCCGACCCTGTCACCTCCAGCCCTGTCTGCCCTCCCACTACCAACTGTCGCTCCAGTCCTTTCTGTTCACTCAGCTGCTGCATTAGTTTCCTTTCACTGCCGCAACAAATGACCACAAACATAGCAACTTCAAACAATGCAAATAGATTCCCTCGCAGATCTCCAGGTCGGAGATCCAGGATGGCTCGGCTGGTCCTCTGCGCACGGTCTCCCAAGGCCAAAATCAAGTGTGGGCCAGCTGGCTCTTACCCGGAGGCTCTGGAAAGAATCCCAAGGTCATTCAGGTTGTTGGCATGATCGCACCCCTGCAGTTGGACTGAGGCCCCTGCTTTTCGCTGGCTGTCACCTAATGGTCACCCGCCCTTGGCTCCTGGAAGCTGCTCTTCGGTTCTTGCATGTGGACCCCACACCTCAGATCTCACACTTGGAATCTCTTCACTTGTCCTTCTGCCCCATCTCCACGTACCTTCCTCTTCCTCTTCCAGTAGGAGAAAGTTCTCTGCCTTTGAAGGCTCATGGGAGTGAATTGGTTGGGCCCACCTGGACGACAGATTTCACACCTTCCAGGAATCACAGGGTGGTCATCTTTGGGGGGCCATTATTCTGCCTACCACAGGTCCAGACCCTGTCACCTTCAGCCTCCAACTCTGCATCTCCAGCTCTGTCTGTTACATCCACACCCAGCTTTCTTCACTCTCTCATCCTTATCTTCTCACTCCCTGACTCTCAACTTAGTGCTGACTCCATCTCCGACTTGCTCTGTTTCTCTCTCCCTTTGTCCCTCTGTCTGTCCCTCCATGCTCATCCCCTCAGACTCCATTTCTGCCAGCCAGGCCTGATGGCTCAGCCAAACCTGAAAGCTCGCAGACCCTGTCTTGGGTGTCCCACCCGCTTTGCCCTCATCCCCAGAGCATCTCCTGTTTCCTCCGAGACTCCTCCCTCAAGACCCACCATTGAGAAGGCACATCAGGCGCCTCTTGGCGCCGAGTCCTGGAGGCGATGCAGACACGGCATGCGCTTTCTCGCTTGAAGCTGGACTCGGGGTTGGATCAACCCACAAACAGACTCAATACAATCTAGCAGTGCATGAGCGTAAATAAAAGTGAACTTTCTTTTGAAAAAAATTAGATTTTTGATTATTCAAAAAAAACATCAATACGGTCCTCACGAGGAATATCAGAGCTCGATCGGCCTCTCCACACCTTCTCTCCCCACTCCCCACTCCCATTCCCCCTGCTGCCATTGGCAACCATTTATTGTGTTGAGAGTGTATCCTTGGCAAGTGTGTTAGTCTGCTGGGGCTGCCATAAGAAAGGACTACAGACTGGGTGCCTTAAACAACAAATTTATTTTCTCACACAGGTCTGGGATCAAGATGTCGGCAGATTTGGCTTCTTCTGACCCTCTTTCCTTGGCTTGTAGATGGCCACCCTCTCATTGTGTCCTCATACAGTCTTTTCTCTGTCTGACCATGTGCATGTCTTTGTCCAACTTTCCTCCTCTTACAAGGATACCAGTCCTATTGCATTAGGGTCCACCCTAAAGACCTCATTTCAACTTAATTATCTCTTTAAACACTTATCTCCAATACACTTTCTGATGTACTGGAGGGTAGGGTTTCAACATACGAATTTTGGGAGGACACGCTTCAGCTCATAACAGTAAGTATCCTTGCAAAATGTGTTAATTCCTTTTTATGCATGTATTTTTAATTTATGTTGGCAGTATTACATATCTCATTCTGATGGGGACTTTTTCTTCAGCACCATCTTTAAGACCCACCCAGGGGCCGGCCCGGTGGTACAGCAGTTAAGTTTGCACGTTCCACTTCTCAGCGGCCCGGGGTTCGCATCCCGGGTGCAGACATGGCACTGCTTGGCAAAAAACCATGCTGTGGTAGGCGTTCCATGTATAAAGTAGAGTAGAGGAAGATGGGCATGGATGTTAGCTCAGGGCCAGTATTCCTCAGCAAAAAAAGAGGAGGATTGGCAGTAGTCAGCTCAGGGCCAGTCTTCCTCAAATAAATAAATAAATAAAAATAAAAAATAAAGACCCACCCATGTTGCATTGGTACATCCAATGTCTATCCAATCCATTGAGTAAGACTCCAGGGTCAACCTTCACCACATGTAACCTCTCCACCCTCTCAGTGATGGGCACCTGAGTTGCCTCTGATTTCCCACCATTACAAATAATGTTACAATTAACATCAGTGTATATGTCCACGTATGGCCCAGAAGGAGTGGGAAGAGGGATTTGGGGGGTCTACAACCAGTAAAAGAATTGCTGAGTTGTAGGGGATACAGATACTATTTTGACTAGGTAGAAAGTCCTGATGAGTCTACTCTCTCTAGCTGTCCACAAGGATTCCATTAACCTTAACCACGCCTGGCATCTGGTGGCTTTGTGTTGTGTCAACTTAGCTAAGCTGAAACTACATTTCCCAAAATTCCTCTCCCCCGCACGGTTCCGGCTTAGTGTTGGCCCGCAGGAGAAATTTGCATGGGAGTTCAGAAGGCAAAAGCGAAGCAGCGGCCACGCTTACTCTTGGAGGTTTGGCGTGGAGTCAGGTGCTGTCGCAGCTCAAGCATGTCATCACGAATCTGCTGGCCCCCCTTACTAGTCAAAGTGGGCAGCAGCGGGGCCCACAGCTTTTCCAGTTCCCACTAGACCACCTTTGGCTCCATGAAATCCTGAGCCCACTCCGTGTGTAGTTCCATGGCAAAGTGTGCCAGCTGTTCTACAGGTCACCGGCGTGGTTGAAGCGGGAGGCTTGCAGGCAGTGAGAGACTGACACAGGTTATAGTTCATCACCATGAGTTCCAGCTCATGCCCAGAGTCCCAGTCTGTCTTTGAGCTCTCCAACTTCACGCCTGTCTTCTCTTCCCAACAGCTGGCCTGGCACCAGACACAGGGGCAAATAGACATATTCAACCAGCTCTCACAATTGCATGAGGTCTAACCCATATAATGAATCTATTCTAGCATCTTTAAAACGTTAAGTGAAAAGAAGCCAGTCACAAAGGACCACATGATGCATGATTCCACTTATATGTCCAGAATAGGCAAATCTACAGAGACAGCAAGGAGATGAGTGGCTACCTAGGGCTGGGGCTGGAGGATTGAGGTGGTGTAACGGCTAAGGGGTGTGGGGGTTCTTTTTGGAATGACGAAAATGTTCCAAAATTAATCATGGTGATGGTGGTACAACTCTGTGAATATACCGAAAACCATTGAATTATACACTTTTTTTTTTTTTGAGGAAGATTAGCCCTGAGCTAACATCTGCTGCCAATCCTCCTCTTTTTGCTGAAGAAGACTGGCCCTGAGCTACTATCTGTGCCCATCTTCCTCTACTTTATATGTGGGATGCCTACCACAGAATGGCTTGACAAGTGGTGCTATGTATGCACCCAGAATCCGAACCGGCGAACCCCGGGCTGCCGAAGTGCAAAGTGTGCACTTAACCACTTCGCCACCAGGCCAGCCCCTGAATTATACACTTTAAATGGTGAATTGTGTGGTGTGTGAATTATCACTCAAGAAGGCTGTTAAAATTACCTAATTCCAAAATATCACTCATAACGGCTCGCTTCTCTGATCAAACCCTAAATGATGTAGTATTATCCAGTTTGTTGATGTTTGCCAATCTACAAAGGGTAGTTTCTTGTTGCTTTAATTGCGCTTTTTCTGGTTACTCATCTCACGAGTTCCTTATCACATATTTCTCAGTCTTTTGGATTTTCTCTTCTGTAAATTGCTTGTTTTTCTGTAAATCCTTTGCTGTTTTTCTGTTGGAGATGCTATCGTCTTCTTTTTCATCCGTAGGAGTTCCTTCAATAGCCTAGTTTTCTATCCCTTGTCAATTTTAGACATTGCAAATATCTTTTCCTGGTTCATCATCGCTCATTACCTTGGCCCATGGGGTCCTTCAGGGAACAGAATCCTTCATTTTGATGTAATCAAACTGATTTTTTTTTTACTTATTGTTTATCCTTTTGAGATTTCTTAAAAGGTGTCCGTAATACACACCTACATTTTATTAACTTTATGATTTTTTTTTTTTGAGGAAGATTAGCCCTGAGCTAACATCTGCTGCCAATCCTCCTCTTTTTTGCTGAGGAAGACTGGCCCTGAGCTAACATCCGTGCCCATCTTCCTCCACTTTATATGTGGGACACCTACCACAGCATGGCTTTTGCCAAGCGATGCCATGTCTGCACCCGGGATCCGAACTGGCGAATCCTGGGCCACTGAAGTGGAACGTGCACACTTAACCGCCGCATCACCCCTAGGGCCGGCCCCTAACTTTATGATTTTAACTTTTCTATTTGGGACTTTATTAGCAGATCGGATCCACCTTACATTATTATGTTCGGGGCGGATAGGGCACCCATAACTGAGGATCTTTAAAGCTATAACTGGGTCTTAGGCAATTAGAGAGGAATAAAGCATTAAAGGATAAGGAACTGACTGTGCCTGTCTCTCCTGGGCCTCACCTTCTCCAGGAAAATCCCACCAGGCCCCCACGGTCACCACATCCCCAACTGATTTCAGCATCCACCTCCCAGCGGCTTCACACAACTGGGTGAGAGCTCCAACATCTACGTGGTTACCCAGCCCTGGTGTCCCTGGTGTTATTCTGATTTGGGGATTGGAAAAAACAGTATTCATTTGTAAAATAGCATTTATTAGCTTCACAAATATTTATTGAACTCCAAGCACTGGGGGTGCATTAAGCCACAAACATGAAGACAAAAGCCAGCCTCATGGAACTTGGGGGGTAGACAGATAAT